ATGAGAAATGACGGACTGGATGAAGCTCAAGCTGGAATCAAGATATGGGAGAAATATCAATAACCTCAGATGTGCAGATGACACCGCCCTTAAGGCAAAAAGTGAAGAGGAAGAGCCTCTTGATGAAGGTAAAAGAGGAGAGTGGAAAAGCTGGCTTTAAACTCAACATTCAAAAAACTAAGATCATGGCATCTGGTCCCATCACTTTATAGCAAATATATGGGGAAACCATGCAAACAGTGACAGAGTTTATTTTCCTGGGCTCCAAAATCAGTGCAGATGGTGACTGCAGCCATGAAATTAAAAGATGCTTGCCCCTCAGAAGAAAAACTATGACAAACATAGATAGCGTATTAAAAAGCAGAGACATCACTTTGCTGACAAAGGTCCGTCTAGTCAAAGCTGTGGTTTTTCCAGTAGTCGTGTATGGATGTGAGAGTTGGACCACAATGAAGGCTGAGCACTGAAGAACTGATGCTTTTAAACTGTGGTGCTGGAGAAGACTCTTGAGAGTCCCTTGAACTGCAAGGAGACCAAACGAGTCAATCCTAAAGGAAATCAACCCTGAATATTCATTGGAAGGACTGATGCTGAAGCTGAAGCTCCAATACTTTGGCCACCTGATGCAAAGAACTGACTTATTGGAAAGCATCCTCATGCTGGAAAAGACTGAGGGCAGGGGGAAAAGGGGATGACAGAGGATGAGATGGTTCTATGGCATCTCTGATTCAAAGGACATGAGTTTAAGCAAACTCCAGGAGATGGTGAAGGACAGGAAAGCATGGAATGCTGCAGTCCATGGGGTGGCAAAGAGTCGGACACAACTGAGTGACTGAACTGAAACTTGTGTGCTAACTTGCTTCAATCAGACTCTTGTCAGACTCTTTGCGACCCCAGGGACTGTAGCCCACTAGATCCTCTGTCCATGGGATTCTCCAGGCAAGAATACTGGAGTGGGTTGCCATGCCCTCCTCCAGGGCATCTTCTCAACCCGAGGATCGAACCCACATGTCTCTTTATCTCCTGCACTGGCAGGCAGGATATTTACCACTAGCGCCACCTGGAAAGCCCCTGCGAACCCTGAGAACTAAGAAATGCAGAAAATAAGGGCTGCTCCAAGTTAAACTGGAAGATCAGCAAGCACAGCTTGTTAAGAGGGAAACCACGATGACCGACAACAGTGCCAACAGAAACGAGCAGGGATGCGTTCACTCGCATAAAGCAAGCATGATATGCCATTCAAAAGGGGAGCCCGTCAGCCCTTGGAGGGTAGTTGGAACCGGGAAGAAAACCGAGGCCATGGTCAGCAGTGCCCACAAACACAGCCCAAGTGGGCTTCCTGCGTCCCCAGAGCTCCTGGCGGTAACCTCTCTGAGTGCTGAGGCCGGGCAACGTCCCGGGTGAGCAAAGGCAACGTGCTCTCCTTCCAGTGCTGCTGCGGGGCCCTCTGTGGGCGGCCACCCTCGTCCCCTGCCCTGCCACCCGCTGGGGCCCAGCTGTCCCCCTGGGATCCTTTCAGCCTCGAGCTTGGGTGTTCCCAGCCCTCTGCCACGTCGGACTGAGACACGACTCAGGACTTGGCTTGAGATATCAAGGAGACCGTGAATCTGGAAGGACACAGCCCTGTGTGAAGAGCAGGGGAGAAGAGCCCCCACAGGGAGGAAGCAGAGCAGGGGAGCAGAGCCCCCACGGGGAGGAAGCAGAGCAGGGGAGCGTGCCCCCACGGGGAGGAAGCAGAGCAGGGGAACGTGCCCACACACCCCCCGCCGCTTCTGGCACAGGAGCCTCTTCTTTGCCTCTCCTTGGGCCTGAAACAGACCCCAGCTGTGGCTGCTCCGCAGGTGAGTCCTAAAGATGCATCTCTGCAAGAGCTATTGTTCCTGCTGCTCTGGGGCTGCGTGAGTGCGCTCCGGAGCGACAGGCAAGTGGGGCTGCCACAGCTCATGCTGGGTGGGGCGGCCTGATGCTGGACGAGGGTCTGATACTGGACTAGGGCCTGATTCTGGACCAGGGCCTGATGCTGGGGGGAAGGTCTGATGCTGCACTAGGGCCTGATGCTGGGGGGAAGGTCTGATGCTGCACTAGGGCCTGATGCTGGGGGGAAGGTCTGATGCTGGACTGGGGCCTGATGGTCGGGGGGAATATCTGATGCTGGAGGGAAGGTCTGATGCTGGACTGGGGCCTGATGGTCGGGGGGAACATCTGATGCTGGACTAGGGGGAGGGCCTGATGCTGGGAGGAAGGTCTGATGATGGTGGGCAGCCTGCTCCCAGGTGTACAGAGTTGTGATTATAAATCTCTAGGAGAAATTTTTTTTTCATACTTTCCCGAACACCTTGCTATATTCTTTTTAACTGGAGGATAATTGTTTCACAATACTGGTTTGATTTCCGCCCTATCTCAACACGGATTAGCCATGGGTGTACGTGCGTCCCCTCCCTCTTGGATCTCCCGCCCACCTCCCCTTGCTACACTCTTGTCTCTGTGGATATGTGAACAATAAAGACTGTTGACTAAAGTAACATGAAAAGTGCCCACACGCAAGCATGCGCGCGCACACTCCCTAGTCCGTCATCCGGACCACCTGCCCTGGGACCCACGGGGAGCCTTCATGCCTGCACTGCGTTCCCAGCCTCGGCCCGCTGCCCTCGCCTCAGCAGCAGAGAGGCCCTCTCCCCGCAGATGCTGAAGTGATGGAGCCTCCTGTCTCCGGAGCCAGGGGCATCAACACCAGGTCAGTCGTCCCTTGGGGACACCTATGTTTCTGCCTTCTAGCCTTTCCATTCTCTCCATCCGTTTCTTTTAACAGAATGTCCGCGTGATGACACGGGCTCCCATTACCAGCTCTGGTCTGTTCTCAGAGAGAGTACAGCTTACCCTCGGCACTCCTGATCGGCAGTGGGAAATTTTGCTTCAGTACTTTATTGAAAGAAAGCAATAAATAATACTGTGATAAAAATAGTTCAAAAGTAGACTGTACATACTTTGTTACATATTCAGGAAGTTCACAAAAGATTAATAGAAAAACAGAACAGTAACAATGAATTGTACAAGTAAATTAAAGGCGGGACCCACATAGAAAGAGACATGCCGTCTCTTGTCTACCGAGATATCAGCTGCATAATAAATAACGCACCATGATCTGAACGCATCTGTTGCTGGCTTTTTTAATGTGCCGCTGAAAAAGTAAAAGTTACATTTGCTACTTATACAATCCAAAATGGCTATGTCATCAAAATCTAAAAATGTACGCCTAGGTCCATTCTTTAAACATGTTTACAAACAGATGTAAAAAGATGATTTACATAAGAAAAATAAGGCCTTTGTCAGAGCTGCACCATGCTGTCTGTCGGGGTGTGGCGCCTTCACAGCCAGCACACTGGCTCCTCAGCGGGTGCAGGGCATCGTGATTGGTCCTCGAAGAGTCGGCGCCCTTGACCCTGCCTCCCAGGAGGAGGGCAGGGACAGCGGGCACGGCGGGCACGGCGGGCTGTGGGTGCCCAGGCCCCACCCCCTCCACCCCCCGTCAAGTCTCTCTTCCCCAGCTCGTGGCTTCTGCCAGTCAGCCGAGACGAGGGATCCGGGTCACGGAGACCAGGTTACGGGAGAATTTTCATAGTCTTCTAGTCATCCTTTCAGCCCAGATTTCACTAGAAGCTCACATTTAACACCCAGTACTTTTAAATCTTTTCACGCTGCAGAGAAAAAGCATTTCTTGCTAGAAAAAGTACAGTTTAGGTCAGTCGTTAAAATACAACAATTGGTTGAAATTAAGTTTGCTCATTTCAGAGTGATTGTTGGAGAGCTTGGTTACATTCTGGAAGGATAATGCACACTGTGTCATGATGATTTTACAATCGCAGTAAAACCCCTTCTCTCATGGTTTATCATTTAAAAATTAAACAAGAATAATTACAATAAATGCATCATTTACAAAAGCCCTATATTTGTTCATAGGATTTATACATACAAGCATTACAGTACATTCATTTGAAAGACTAAAATCAGGTATCAGAACATGAATTGATCTGAAAGGATATTTATAGCCTGGATATACAAGAAAAAGTAAGTAACTATATAAATGAAGTCATAAGTTTACATAAATATAAGAAACATTAAATTCTAAAATATTTTCTCTATGGTATTCATGAATTTTTCACTAATTAAAAACTCTGTAATAAAATATCTTAGGGTCCATATAACAAGTATTAACAGATTAAAGATTCCATCGAGTTCAGAATGCCGTCTTTGCCGTATTCTGGACGCTGTATAATCACCTGTAGAAGTAGTGCGGGTAAACTGGAAAGAAACACGCAGACGCGTCAGTCCTGGGGCGACGGCTGCTGCCCGAGCCCTGCCCCTCAGACACCCCCACCCCATTCTGGGCTTCCGGGGCTTTGAGAATTCAGAGAAACATGAAGGACCAAGCAGATCAAGGAGAGAACTCCGTGGCTGACTTTATTCTCACATATAGCTAAAAGCTGCTGCTAAAAAAAAATAAACCCCAATCCAGCTTTCTAGCGGAGACGTGAACAGGACAGAGCAGACAGCCTCCTGCCCTCAGAGCGGCTCCAGCAGGGCCGGGCTCCCGGGCCGGACCCCCCAGGGGACCACCCAGAGCAGTGCCTGCAAGGGAGGGCGGCCCCTCAGTGGCGGCCGAGCCCCAGATGCCGGTGCACCTCCGTGTGAAACGCTGGCCTCCAAACGAGAGGCCAGGGCGGGGCAGCCTCGTGAACCCCGACGCTCTGGGTCCTGTTCCCTCCGAGAGCGGGCACGCGGGGCATGGCCGGCAGCACTGCCGTGGTGCAGGGACACCCGCGCTCGGGACCGCGGGAGACTCGGGCCTGCTCTGACCACTGCGGCGGCAGCCGGGCACCAGTCACGTTCTCTGCCGCTGAGGGCTCTCCCGGGCCGACCTCCAGAGACCCGCAGACCCTCCACTCCCAGGGCGAGGCCTCCTCGCCCCCATGGGCCAGGCCGCCCTGTACTCACCCTGGAGCTCAGCAGGAGTAAGTCCTGACTGTGGCGGAATCCAGCCTCTGCGTTCCCGCCACGCTGCCTGGTCCCACGAGCACGGGAGGAAGCGTGCAAACACAGCGTGCGGTTAGTCATGGAACGTCACATGGGGCTCGAGGACACACACACTCACACCTGCAGCAGCGCCCACTCCTACTGAGGGTCTGGGGAGCTTCTACAGGGTGGAAGGGCTGGAGGGAGCGAGCCTGGGGCCCTGCGCTCTGCTGTCCTGGGGGCCGGGCCGCTCTCCCCAGGCGGCGTCAGAGAGGGCGGAGGACGGGGCTGATCTAAGAAAGGGGAAACTCAGGCTCAGCCGCCCTCGGAAATGGCACCACTGATGTTGGTTCAGCCCCGACCTCTGCTCCAAGTTGAATAAGAAATCTCCATAACCCCCTAGCAGAATCCCGCTGCTCTCAATTCAACGTTTTCCATCTTCCCCTGGGCCCAGTAGGAGCACATATGCTGAGTCTCTGGCCAGGGCTCCAGAGAGGGCTGAAGACTGGGAGCTGCTGATGGAGCAGCTCACCGGTCTGAACCCTTCTGAGTCTGAGAGCCCCCAAGACCTGCTGCACGGCAACTGCAAAAGCCGCGGAAACCACCCAGTTACACAGTTTACGCCCTGCCTATCTCACGAGGTCTGTTATATTCCCGACACCTCTTTCTAGGGTTGTTTCTAATTTATCTAAACTCTAATGTCAACGGCACTATGTGCATCTGCTGGGGAAATGCTGGATTTATAATGAGAAGTATGGAAAATAAACAAGCAAGCACTTACACTCTTCAATCAACTGAAAACTAAGATACAGTTAAGATTTGTAAAAATGAGCTGCATGCTCCTTGGAAGAAAAATGCTGTTTAAAAAAGGAGAGAGTCACTGGGTCTCCCCCACCCATGCTTAAGTGTAATATTGAGTTCTGGTGAAGAGATGACGCTGCTTCCCTGTAAGCCCACTCACCGAAAGCGCACAGCTTAGCAAAGGCTTTACATAAATGTACTTTGCTCTGTGAGAGCAAGCGAGAGCAAAGCTTACAAATCTACTCATGGGAAGAGCTGATAACAGGAAAAAAAAGGGCACCATAGAGACCCTCCGGGCCCACTCCCAGGGGGTGAGCGCACACTCCCTCTGGGATTCCCCAGTGTGGCCGGTACAGCCAGCCGAGGAGGAAGGAGCCGCTGAGTCGCCCCTGTCACAGACGGGACACTGGCCAGGGCGGGGGAGGCGTGCACAGGGCACCTCCTGAGCCACAGAGCCTGACCCCGGCCCAGGCTGTCTGGCCATCTATCTGGCCATCAAGTGGGGACACCACGGCCCTGAGCACCTGGCCTGAACTAGCGGCGTTCTCCGGCAGAGAGGCTGTCAGAGGAAAAACCAGAGCTGGGTTTGAAAGGACAACTGCAAGGCCGGTGTATTTGCGGCCCGGCCGAACTCGGGGGAGGACCTCTGTCGGCCTCACCTTCTTCCTCCGCCCCATAGACTGACAGTGTGCAAGGGGCTGACGACGGTGGGGACGGGGGGAGGACGGGAAGGGGGATGCTGCTGTCGCTAACAGGGACTCGGCCACCCTCCCAACGCGGAGAGTCTTGAGGGGTGACCGGTGTGGCCTGAGAGCCGCCCTGCTGTTCTGTGAAAGAGCTCTTGAGCGCTGCTGGCCACACACACATCTTTACAAGCACGGGTGTCAATCTAATGCTCTGAGAACATACACGAGCCTTAGTTTTATTAGTTGCAAGAATATGCTAATATTCAACCAGACAAGAACTTGGAAAAAAAAAGCATGACTGTTAAACATTTATAAACAGATGTTAGGATTCACTGGAGAACACTGACCCTCGGGCATGCAATGGCACTGAACAGCCCCGTAACCTGGGAAGCAGGCCCCTCCAGCTTGTCAGCATTCTGGCCCGGGCCGCGCCCGCCGCCCGACCTGTCACCTACCGTCCAGCTGCATCTTCTTTGGCTGCACCGAGGGCGAGGACAGAGAGGAAGGGACCCGGAAGTTCGCGGGCAGAGTCTCTGCGGACCCGGCAGCTAAGCCACGGACATCCTTTGGTCTGAATTTCTTCCTCCAAGAAGGTGCTCTCCTAAAGCTTTTATCATCGTCCTGGGAAATTACAGGACAGAAAACAAGACAGATTTTAAAACAAAGGACAAAAACAAAAAGCTGCCAGCCCTTTAAAATGGCTGAGTTTGCTACTGCACTTCTGTCCACGTGTACTGGACCCCGTTTGTGATGACCATGTGACTGACTTGCCCAAACTGGGGACAGAGGAGCGTGGCACACATAACAGCTAACACATGTAACACGCGTGCCAGGACCCCGACTGGACCACCCGGGTGGACGTTCCTCCTGACAGTCAGCACATTTCACTTCTCATCTTGGAGAAATCGCCTCTTGCTGTATGTTACAACACACTGTCATTGGCCATGGAAACATTTTCAAGCTATAACCACTTCTGTCTCACTCTGGGACAGAGCCAATGGATGCTTCTCAGGTGTCCAATTCTCCTTGTCAAACTCAAGTCTCCTAAGGTCCAATGAAGAGAAGAACTATAGTATGGGAGTGAGCGAGTCACGGTTGTGTGTCGGGGGGAATTAATTGTTTTCAATACACTTAATGAAATAGCCCCTTAGCACAAGGGCCCTGGAAGAGAATAAGGCCATCCAGTTGCTCCCCAAAACACAACTCACAGACACCATTCTTAAGCGGAAACCAATGTTTTAAGATAAAAAACATTTTTGAGAGGTACTAAAACTTAAATAGTAAAAAAAACCCACAAAAATCCCAAAACAAAAACTAACCCACTGTCTTATCTTACTGAAGACACTAGTTTTTAAATGACTCATCTGTTACTAAATGTTTAAGAGCAAAGCCTGACTTGTGAAGTTAATTATGTCCACCTTTAGAAGAGACACCATGGCTACATGGCTCACACAAGTGTGACAAAGTAATTTACATTAAGGCAACTTGAAAAATCAAGCTGAAAACTTACTTCATCAAACCTTCTGTCGGTTCCCATGACCAAGAGGTTGTTAAACTCTCTTTCCAAGACAGCACGAGCCTGAAATGATAAAGAAACAGCACTTACCCTAAAACTTTCAACAATCTCATTTGAACATCAGCACATCACAACTGTTTTTTAAACCAAGACTTTAAAAAAAAATTCAACTGTGACATTGTTTGAAGTCAGGGGTTTAACGCGGTGTCTACGGAGGGGGTGATGAGAAGAGGGAGCCGGGGTCTCTTGGAAATTACAGGCAAAGTGTGCCCTGTGGGCTGGTGGAGAGATCACGGTGCTGACACAAGATACACAGCCTTCTGAAGAAGAACAAAAAAGTCCCCCCATTCTCAAGTGAGCCCACGAGTCAAACAGAAGCACACAGGGCAACTTCCCCCGGAAGCAGAATTAACAAAGCCTTCATGTGGCACAGTCAGAGTCATCTCTGTCCACCGAGAACTAAGTACATGTCACTCTCACAGCACACCACCGTGAAGGAAATATCCCCGTTTTATGAAAGACTCCCGTGCTTCCGACAGAGAATGAAAAGTGGGCAGGCACGAACACGAGGCATGAAGCGTCTCTGACTGTGGACTATCCCGTGAGGGACTTGGTGAGCAACAAGGGGACCAGCTGTCTGAGGGGTCAGGTTTGGTCTCCGTTTGGGGAGCCAGCTGTGCATCTGCACTGGGAGACAGCCTGCTTGCTGGGCCCGAGTACGGCTGGTCGCACCTGTGTGTTCTGCGTGGGGATCTGTAACAAGAGGGCCAGCGCATTGAAGTCAAACGTCTCGTCCAAGGCCAGCAGCGCCCCGTGCACGCCGCTCTCGACAAGGTTGTTCGCGTATTCCTTGAGGCCAATAGAGAGGATCCAGCGGATCACTCGGTCGTTGCTCCAAACCAGCACGTCTGCAGGGAACAAATTTGGAAAGGAGCCTCAGAAAGCTGTTTTCCCCTCGTGCACCTGCAGCCGCAGCAAAGGAGTCCTACGTGATGCTGACCCTCAGCCCCTGACGAAAGCCAGGACCCCCCCAAGGGCCGGGGGCATGGCTCCGCAGGCAGCCAACCTGCTGTGCTCGGACACTGACGTCCCGGCCCCTCTCCATCCTAACGGAGACTGTCCCACTAGAACTCATTCCTCAAGTGAGTCCCAGAGAGATAAAGCAATCATGGGCATTTCCAGGGAACAGAGAATGAGGATCCAGGTATCAGAAAGGAAAGCACAGACAAGAACGTGAATGCACACCAGGCAGGAACATGTTTCAGACACAGACTTGAGTGTCTTTTTTTTTTTTTTTTGAATGTTTGTTGATGTACTTTTTTCCCATCACAAAAAGGACTCAGTACCATATCTGGACACCTTGCTCAATTCAACATAAACCTCTCATTTATAATCTTGAAGCCTTTTTTCTTTAAGTCATTTTTGTTGTCTCATTTTAAAAAGAGAGAAACGTAAAGATATTGTCCAGTATATTAGAGATCTGTGTGTGGGGGGAAGATCTTAGATAAGTAATAAGTTACAAAATTTCCTCTAGTGGAGTGCTAAAAATAGCCGCTCTGTACAAATATGTCCAGCTGATCACCAATGACTTTCGAAGACAGCGTGTGTCAAGTGTAAAAAGGTTCAAAATGGATTCAGAAAACAAACGAGACAGACGCACAGCTTTCACTTCCAATGCCCTTGTCTGCATAAATGTTGGCTCTTGGTTTTTTCATGATTCAAATGAACTCAATCACAGCTAGACAACCCTTCAAATGGGCCATCTTTCCAACCATTTTTTTAAATTTCCTTCTTAGTAAAAACTGGAGATGAAAACAGCACTTACAGGCACAGGGCTACAGTAAGGATTAAATGAAGGAAACTATGAAGGTACCTGGATTCGTTCAGTAGGTCTTGTTATTGTTACTGTTATCAATGATCTATTTTCTGAACATTCTGGGAGGTCTTACACTGAGCTTAATGGCTAATATCCTTATTGAAAATTTATTTTATTCATTTTTGGCTGTGATGGGTCTTTGGTGCTGTGTGCAGACTTTCTCCAGTCATCATGGGTGGCTTTGCATTGCGGTGGTTTCCCTTGTTGTGGAGTCCAGGTCGCGGGCATGAGGGCTCATCTGCCTCGTGGCGGATGGGATCTTCCCAGACCAGGGATTGAACTGATGTCCCCTGCATTAGCAGGCGGATGATTCTAACCCACTGGACCACCAGGGAAGTCCTACAGCTAACACTTTATTTAAAATCGCTCCACTGCACTCAGGCACTTAGAGGCACCCCTCCAGGGAGACCCTGCATGGACAGCCCGTGGCCCCTCCGGCCTCCCCACCTGCCGTGTAGCTGAAATGCCTCCGCCCCCTCCCTCCCCAGCTGAGACGCTCCCATCCAGCTTCAAGGCCACTCCCTTGGCCTGGGCAGAGGACCACGCTGCCTCCTCGAGTCCTCTGACAAGAGGCCAGAGCAGTGTCCTTCACACTTCGAGCGTGCAGAGCAGGCCGTGCTCTTCTTGGCTCCGGAGTTACCTGCAGCGTGCGGCAGCATCTGTGCGCAGAACAGGACACACGGCACAGCAAGGGGGAAATCTCTAGAGTCGTGGGAAATGCTCTAGCCGCAAGACACACAACCTGCAGACCGACGTGAGCCCAAGGACAGAGCCCAAGCTCTTGGGCCACGGAAGACGATCTCAAACACACTCCCTTCCATCCCCCCCTCTGTAATGATTCGAGGTGTGTTTTCTCCACAGAAAGCATTTCCTGAATTTTTCTTTCCAATAGGAAATCACTGAGGCGGCTTATACACTGGGAAGCAAGAAATAGGACTGTACTAGCCTTTCAGTTCATTCTGGCTCTCTTCTCTTTTCCTTTCCAGTTCTTTTCGGTCATAATTCAACCTTCGCAGGCACATAATTCCACACTGGAAACTGTTTCTGTTTCCAAGAGAAAAAGAAAAAATTTAGAGCTGGCCACAGGCAAACATCTCTCAGCCAACCAGTAAGAACGACTTGCAGGGACTGACCTGTGAAAACTATCAACCATTTTCAGTTGTCCACGAAGGTCTTTCTTGGTCAAGTGGTCCAGCATCCGCGCGTCCACAAGGCACTCCATGAAATAGCTGCGGTACTGTGGGAGCCCCAGGCTGGGCAGCCACTCGTTGCCGATCCACTCGTGGTTCATGTCCCCGTACGCGAGGGTCTGCTTTCAATAATTAAGGATGGTCAATTCAGGAACAAAACCCATGGAAGCAGTCACAAGAGCCATTTAAACCATCTTTAAAATGGATTTTTAACCAATTACATATTCTCAAAGGCTAAGCTAAAGACAACATTGTTGCTCATAACTTCAAAATAATTTGATCTTTTATTTGCTACCTTTTAAATTTGCTGGCAAAGTTTTATACAAAGAAATTATACCATTAAAAGTCTATGACTCATCTGTGTTAATAAATTTAACCTATTTACCAAACCATGATAAAACTGTAACTGACTACACATTAATTTTTTGAAATAGCTTTTATATATAATAATATATCAACAAAGAATAGCCACGACTCATGAACAAGTTTGAAGGATCAACATAACTCTACTCTCTAAAAGTATCTCTGGCTGGCTTTAATTTTATTTTCAACATTTTGTTTTCTAAATTTCTTTAGCAAAACATCTGCTAATTTCATAGTTAAGTGAAATGAAAAACAGGTTTTAAAAAAAGAGGTAAGGAAAACAATAACTAAATGGACTGAAAGAAGAAAAAGACAGACCCACAGTTACAGTCAGGGACCTCAATCTTCCTCTGAGTTACTCAGTAACTGATTGAACAAGGAAGCCAAAACAGGCAACCAACCAAGGTCAGGAAGGAGGTAGAAGCCTTTAAACAATTCTCCAGCAAGAACACTGGAGTGGGTTGCCATGCCCTCCTCCCGGGGCCCTCCCCAGCCCAGGGGTCAAGCCCGGGCCCCCCACACTGCCGTCTGAGCCAGCAGGGGAGCCTCTTAGACAGCACTGTCAGCCAGCTTGGCCTGACTGGCGTCCTATAGGACTCTCCCTCCAACAGCAGCGTGGCAACAGTCTTTTCAAGGGGGTGTGGAGCACTCTTCAAAAGACAGGCAAATCTCAGCGTACTTAGAGTGACTAAAATCATACAAAGCATGTTTTCTGATCTCAGCAGAATTAAATTAGAAATTAAAAAGACACTGATATCCAGGAATCTCCCGAACATCAGGAAATTAGCATATTTCTAAATAATTCATGTGTCAAAGAAGGAATCACAAGTGAAGTGGGAAATATTTTGAAGTGAATAAAAGTGAATATACAATATACTAAAAAGCTACAGGACATAGCTAAATCAGTACCTGGAGGGAAACTGATAATATTAAATACTTACACAAATGTAGAGATTGTAAATCAATAATCTAAGGCTCTATCTTAAAAAACTTATAAGAAAAAACAAATGAAATCCACAGCAAGCAGAAAGAAAATGAAAGGGCAAAAATCAATGAAACAGGAACCAGAGAAACAAAATGAAACGAAAAAACTAAAATCAGGTTCTTCATAAATATCAATAAAATTGACAAAGCAGAGTGATAGAGAAAAAAAGAGAAGACATAAACTACCAGTATCCAGAATGAAAGAGGGGACGACAGTACAGATCCTACAGACATGGAAAGCGTGGGGTAAACTGTGAACAACTTTAGGCAACTTAGATAAAATACCCTAAGACACAGCCTTTGAAAGCCATTCAGCGAGAAACAGATAACCTGCATCTATCAAAACTCGCATTTGTAGTCAGAAATCTTCTTATTTAACCACACATACAAAATCTCTACCCTAAGTGGCTTTACTAGTGAATCCTAACAAGCATTTATGCAGAAAATACTAGTTCTACACAAACCATTCCAAAATAGTGAAGGAAAGAACACCTAACTCATTCTGAGGCCAGAACTCTCTTGATACCAAAAACAAGACAAACATTTCAGGAATATCCATATCCTCACAGACAAAGACGCAGAGTTCCCTAATGACCCATCAGGAAGTCACTAATCCATCACAAGCACAAGGTGTGGTGACAAGCAGGGTTTACCCCAGGAATATAGGGTCGGGCAAACGCTTGAAAACAATTGGTGAGATTCACCATGTCAATGGGCTGAAAATAAAAATCACAGTATCACCCCAAAAGATAAGAGAAAAGGCATCTGACAATAGTCATCATTGATATATGGAAATCTTAGCAATCTAGGAACAGAAGAAAACTGCCTCAACCTCATAACAGCATCTACAAAACATGCAGAGCTGACATCACATGGTGCTTTCCTCTGAAGATCAGGAAGAAAGCAAGGATGTATGCTCTCATGGCTTCTATCCAACTCTGTACTGGAACTCCTCGCCACCGTAACAAGACACAAAAAAGAAATCGAAATCATATGGATTGAAAAGGCAATACAACCGTATTTGCTGATGACCTGATGATTAATATGGAAAACCAACTGACAAAACAGTTACAAGCATGAAAGTGACTTCAGCAAAGTTGCAGGGTACGAGGTCAACATACGAAAATGCACTGTATTTCTAAATACTAGAAATAAACCGGAAATTGAAAATTTGAAGACTATGCTTTATTATAATGTCATCAAAACCAATGAAATCCTCAGAGATAGAGCTAATGGAACATGTGCAAGGTCTGCACAATGAAAATAAACACGTGACATGTGTATACACACATTCCAAAGAAGGCACCTGATATTCTTCAGTCCAAGAAGACTAAGCTATGTTCTGAGGAATTCTCTACATTATGGAATCCTTGGGAAATAATACCTCTCGACCACCACCATGTTCTGTCTCAAAAATACAGCCTCTAATCTATTATTTACACCAACGAAGCTAGAAGGAATAACTCAAACTCCAACAAGAACAGTCAAGTTCTAATAAAAAAAAAAAAAAAGACTTTCTAATAGAAAATAAATTTCTATAAATAATCATGAGTGGAAATAAAACACGAAACATTTTTAGACATCATCACAATATCACATTTTCACTCTTTCAATTACAACTCTCATCTCATAGGCCTGACATTTATAGCATGAATATCTGGTATTATTTTCCTACTTGCTGATTATGTTTTTTTAAATAGACACAAAATGCAAAGACATTTCTAAGTAGAGAATTCCATGGAAGCAGACACCTCCTCATTTTTGTTCACTCATTATATGCTCTATTCACACTTTAGTGGTCGATAATGTTAAGTTCCTGGGTGGATCAGGCTCAGCCCCAGGGAGTCCCACATTTCCTGGGCTGTCATCCCAGCCTGGGGAAAAAAAGCACACAACAGGGCGCTCTCATGATCAGAGAACATTTGGGGCAGAAGAGACTCTGTAGGGTCTATTTTTCCATCACTGAAATGGTCACAAACACAAATCAATTTTCTGAACTCTGAACAAGGTGAGAGTGATGGCATGGATCCTGTTCAATCCAGTACCACCAGTGGGTATCACAGTCCTATGCAGACACCTGGGAGATGCTACTGGCTAAATTAAGACATCGAAGGCTCTGACCACACCTTGATGTCTTCCTCCCGGGAGCCCGAGGCCATCTCAAACTTCCCTTCGGCTCAGGAGCAGGTCACCGTGTGCCAGCACAGGGGAGACGCAGGCTACGCCATCTGCCCTTGACGGCTTCACAGAAAGGGGTCCTTGCGTACGCTGAAGACCAAAACTTAGCAATTCCGGTGTCACTGGCATGGCTCATCCTTGTTTGTATTTCCATTGCAAAAAGCAAAAGCTCAGCTTAATTTACATGTCAGTTTAATTCCCATGATTCAGGCAAAGTTCTGCCTCTTAGTGTAAAATACACTGATATTTAAGTAGTTGTGAACTGCGCTCTTTTAAATTCACTGATGGTCATTACTGACTGGGTTAGATAATTAATGAGGATACTTATCTGGAGCAGTGGCACAGAATAGCGAAGTCACGGGGTGGGGGAGTTCACAGAATCATATTAAAGCTACTTTCCTCTTCTGTTAAAAGTGACATAATTGGCTTTGCTTCAGAAGCACAAATAGAGGGAAATGGGTGTTACAACTGTCAGTTTGTAGTCAGGAACACTCTGATTCAGAATTCCTTTGCTTTTTTGGTTACATAGGTATCTTTTCAGCGTCCATACACAGCATTGCCACTAGTGAGCCCCTCAGGCGAGCTCCTGCCCACACCTGGTAGACTTTTGAATTGTCAGGTGTCACAGAACAAAGTCGGTGGGATCACAGGTAGGAAAATCACTGTTTTTAATCAAACTGTCTCAAAGCAAGGTTGCAAAACAGTTGTGACAGAGCTTTTGTTTTTGAGTTAAACTGGGGAACTAAAAATTCAACATGTGCATTGAGCAGCAGTGGGCTCAACTTCCAAGAATTCCATCAGTAGGAAGGACTCTGGAACACAGGATTAGGACAGTCCAGTAAATACCGACAGAGGCAGAGTCTATGGCAACTCTTCAGTTGGAAATTTATTAAAACACGATTTTCTCATTAGTTGATCTCATAACTAACGCTACCCCACCACGGACTGAAATACATCACCCAAGTAGCTGCCGAAGCCACGGGGCTTTGCAGGAAAGAACATGTGTCAAACAAAGTGATTTATGTCCAGGAGAATTAACTGCCAGAAATGTTCAAAATTGTCCATGAGACGTACTCTTTAATCCTGTGCTTTGCTTTGGCTAATGCTTTCAAACCATTAGTAGTATTCTGACTAAATCAAGATGCTGAAAATGTCAAGAAAAGTAAATTACAAGTTCTCAACCTCCAACTCTTTTTGTTGCTGTGTATATATAGTGAAGAATACATTATAGAAAGTCTCCAACCTGAGCCCAGCTTCCCTCCTCATCCTCCTGGTGTTACGTGGTTAGGGATGCAAAAGAACAGAACCATTAGTACTGGTGAGCGGGGGACACGAGCACGTTCACTCTGCAGGGGAGGGCAACTGCACTGGGAGACAAGGGTCACAGCGCAGAGCAGCAGGCAGAGTCATGCAAAGGCCACAACCCAACACTTCGTGCAAAGAGTAGCCCCCCACCCCCGGCAGGCGCACCCCAAAAAGAGAACACTAGGCCCCAGGGTCAACTGCGGTCTCCCGGGAAGGAGACAGGCATCGAGTCTATTCTACAGGGAGCGAGTCTAGGAACTTAAAAGTTCCTGAAACAAATACAACACAAGACAAAATACGGACTGTTTGTACGTTTAACTAATACCTAAGAGAGATACTTATCCAGAACAACTGAATATGAAATGACATTTCTGTTTTCCACAAAAGAGCCAGGAACGGCACCGCCCTGACCCGGGGCCGCGCGGGGAGGGAGACGAGCGCAGGGCCGGGACTGACCGTGTGCGGCGTGGCCGTGAGCGTCTCCATCTCCTCGTGCGTTAACCAGACATTTCCTGTGGTCTAGGGGGGCCCGTGGCCGGCCACATCCAGGCAAGGGCAGCAGTGACAGGGAGGAGAGGTGGCAGACACGTGAGCCGGGGCCGGAGATGCAGGCGGGGGCAGAGGCCGGCCCCCCACCGCCCCGCGTCGGCCCCTGCACCTGGAAGCACCCCCCAGCACTGCTCCCCAGCCACACGGAGAGAGGCCCAAGCGCTTCATCTGCGTGCTGACTGCCTGAGCCAGGCGAGACCGCGAGAGAACAGAGCACGCTGCCCACGTCTGAGAGCAGCGAGGAACGCTCAAGGAACGCCCAAGGAACGCCCAGTGCGACGTGCTTAAAGGGTCTCACCCAGACGGAGCTCAGCGGCCCGCTCTGGGCTCTGGGGGGACGGCCCTGAGAAGGTGCCCGCCGGGGACTGGGTCTCTCTCTGTCAGAGGAAGCTGCGGGGGCCCCGCCCCGGCAACGGGGCGTCACCAGCCGAGACAGCCGAGCCCCTGGGGGGCAAGCAGGCTCCTGGACCCTGTCCCATGGGAGGCAGGCTCCTCACGGTGAGGGCACCACCCATTTAACTCAGCTCCTAAGAAGCTCCCTTTCCGGAGACACTTTATAGAACCTCCGGGGAACCCTCAACGCCTTCATTTCTCAAGAGGTGGCTCTGGCGAACCCTCCGGGGCTCAGAGAGCAGAGCGGATATGCTGGTATGCTGAGAACAGGTGCATCTGTGCGGCGTGAGCTCACCACCGTCACGCGCACACTTAGACACAGAAGACAGGCCCCACCTGCTCCTCAGGGCAGGTGCGCCTGGGGGGCCGCGTCTCCTCGCCAGGGCTCCTCTCCAGGGTGGATACACCGAGCGTGGGGACTGAGCTGTGTCCTGAGTCTGCACTCGAGAAATGAGGAGCAGGCTGGCCCTCATCCCCTGGCAGCAACCCACGTTTCCACCAGATTCGTTTTAAGTTTTCCAACTAGGAGGACCCTCTTACAGGACTTTCAAGGTCTTCCCCCGTGGAGGAAACGTGGATAAGCACGATACGACTTGGTGTGAACTGGCAGATGTACGGACTCTTAAATCCCTGAGAGCCCAGGATCTGCGCCTCCCAAAGCGGACAGGCTGGACAAGTCAGATGAGGGGAAAATAACGCAGCCTGCTGGTTCAGCCTTTTCTCTTTCACTTTCTTGACATTTATATTTACATTTTTTTAAATATATTTTCAAAAACCTCCTTTTTTACAATTTTCACATTTTCAAACAGTCCCGTTTTTATGTTTTCAAAGACTCCCATTTCTCTATTACAATGCCACTGTAGTCCCACTGCTACAAAACCAGTCTGAAGTGTTCAATAATCCATCTTTTGACAACACAACTACCGCAAATGAAAAGCTGTCATGGTTTGGAACGCTAGAACTTTAAGCTGGAACAGTGGATGTCTGTAGAGAGAACCCCGGAAGCGACACAATCGGGGGGCGGCGTACCGTTCTGGACGTGGGCGGGGCAGAGGGGCTGGTCAGGGACATGATCTCTTGGATGGCCAGCCGCAGCTTCAGCCGGTGCAGCGGGTTGCTGATGCCGATCTCACGCTGGATCTCCGTGTCCGACAGGGCGGACATGATGGCGCCGCTCTTCACGTTGGCTCGGCAAGCAGCCACGTACCAGGCCGGCATCCCGACCCAGAGCTGGGGATGGGGGACACGAGGCAGGAGGTTAGGCGTGGCTCAGAGGGACTGACACACCAGCCTAGGGCGGGGGTGCGGGTGGGGGCAGGGGCGGGGGGGCACTCACACACCTCCAGCCAGACCACAACAGTAGGCCCGTCCCACTGTGCAAAAGGCAAGCCTTGTCTCCGGGCTTCCTCGAGCAACTCGTGCCTGCAAGTAATGAGACATTCAAAATTCAAGAATCACCGGTACGCACGGATATAAACAAGTTAGCCTAAGTATTTATTCTCTTCATACATTTTTCAAAAGTGAAACAGTACGTATCTCATCAAGTTCCTTTAATCTTCTAAACCATCTACTCAATGGCAGTTCAGACATATTACAAAGAATACCTGAGTCAGGAAATGCTGAAGGAGTCCCCGCAATTCCCTACAGAATCACCTCCTTCCAGGATGAAAGAGTTATTGCCAAGCTTAAAGAATTCAGAAGTCTGCACAACCAAGGTAGGGTAGTCAAGGAAAAACATATCCACTCTTCCCTCTCTAAACAGTGAGGGTGGATCTGTAGAAGAGGCAACCACAGCGGGGTCTGAGCAGAGCCTGTGCCTGAGAAAGCTTCAGGGACGCAGAGCATTTCACAACAGACACACACAGAGCAACGCAGACTTTCAACACAGGACGCTCTAACACGGCACGCTAGGAAAGGGGCGGACGGGGCTGTTTCTCTCCTACAACGCTGTTCAGCTAATTGCCTCTGTGCTAAATTAAGACCCTGGTTACTCTTTTTTGTCTGTGCCGCCATGTGGCTTGGAGGACCCTCGTTCTCCAGCCAGGGATCAAACCCCAGGCCCCTGCAGGGCAAGTGCAGAGTCCTAGCTACTGGACTGCTCGGGAATCCCCTGAAGATACACCCCGGAAGTGGCTTTTCAATATACTCACATAGCATCAGACTTCACTTAAGACTATGACGTCTATGTGTGGTTAAAGCTTGAAATATTTCACATAAAATTTCAAGTACCTGTTCCTTTAAGTCAACTTTAGGTTTCCTACAATAGTAAATATTATATTTTCTAGGAGTAATTATACCAGAAAACACATGTATCTTAATAGCTCAAAAAGTGAGAGTGAAAGTGAATTCGCTCAGTCGTGTCTGACTCTTTGCAACCCCATGGACTGCAGCCTAGCAGGCTCCTCCATCCATGGAATTTTCCAGGCAAGAGTACTGAAGTGGGTTACCATTTCCTTCTTCAGGTGATCTTCCTGACCCAGGGATCGAACCCAGGTTTCCCACATTGCAGGCAGACACTTTATCATCTGAGCTACCAGGGAAGCCCCTTAATAGCTCAAGGAGAGTTTTCTAAAAAGGCAAACTTATAAAATTCCCATATCCCAGGGGAACGAGGCATATACCACTTTGGAGTTCACATTCCAACCACAACCACCATCCAGAAGCAAATGGAAGACTCGCCTGGCTTCTGCTGGGGTTTATTTCCTTCCTTGGCTATAAGACACTGCATCACCCTACTATCACCAGCTCACTCTCAGCTGAAACCTCGCTTTACAGAGACGGCTTGAGAGACGAGCCTGGGGGCTGCCTGCTCTGTGGAACGCTGTGACAACCCTGCTCGGGCGGCATGGCGGGGCTACTGAGCTGGGACTGCCTCTGCCCCCTCGAGGATCAAATTCGAGACCCCAAGTGCAATTCATTAAAACACTCGCTCTAGCAGTAAACTGACGTGGCGTGCTTCCTTGCCTTAAAATTAGAGTCACAGGAGAAAGACCTTCGGAAATACGGTGAATTCTATGGGGAACACATGTGTCGGAAAGAAAGCCTCGCCATCTGCGGACGACAATGGGCACTTTATTTTTTACTTTATTTTATTTTTTGACAATGGGCACTTTAAAGCAGGATATGAGCACCATGGTCAAGCTGTCTTTCCTAAGAAGATGGCTGTGTGAGCTTCTGCTCATCAAACGCTACATGCGTGGCACCACCCGGACAACAGGTGTGGCCCTGTTTTCTGAGCCTGACCGTCCGCCCAGCCCAGCGCCTCCCACGAGGGATCGCTGGGCTCCCCTTCACCAATACCGCCCCCCCACTCCTGCAGCGCTGCTCAGCTCAGAGCCTGGAGCTGGGCCGAGCCGCATGGGGAGGCTTTGGGACACACACAGCCGAGCAGACCTGCTGACTCGGCTTCCCCTGTGAGCTGGCGCCCGACAGTGTCCACCACGGGGAAGAGGAGAGACAGCAGTCAGAGGAGAGGCACGTGAGGCCGGGGGCGAGTCTCCGCACTTCTAGGACGCCGCGGCGGCCGCGGCCCCCACTCCTCACAGCGCGTCCAGCGCCTGCTGCGCCCGCCGCGCTCTCTCTGGGCGTTTCCACAGGACGTGGAAATCCGAGGTTCACCAACCCTCAAAAGCTCTCTGAAAGTGGATGCACTGGCTGTGTAAACTCAGCAATTGAAAGAATACCTTTGAGACAAACTGGGGCTTCATAGAAAGAAGTAGTTTTGAGAAACAAATTGATTCTCACATCTATAATGCTATAAATGTTGAACTATATTCAAGTGATGTTTTTTCTAGAAAACTGGAATATTTTTTCACATGTGTAGATAAGGCATTTTCCCTGAAGTCAGCTTGTCTCTGGTTGACTGACGGAGCTGGGATTACCCGCTGTGGTCAGAAAAACCTTTGTACTTTGAACTGTTCTCTCTGAAGCCAGCAGAGCGGCCCAGAACTCGCCACGCGTGACAATACAGCGCACGCGCAGAGTGAGACGCGCATCCTGACACCCAGCTCCAGAGAGACCTGCCTGCCACATGCACACCCTGCCCCACACGCGGGGGATGCAGGCCAACAGAGCTCTGTCCTCACACCGCCGAGGGCTCGAGAACACCTCCTGAGAACAGCAAGGGAGCGCGTGAAACGCAGCGACACCCGCCGGCCAGTGGACACTATGCTGGGTCCCACGGGCAATGTGAGCTTTCGGGAGCAGCGGTGGGCGGGCCGCAGGGCCACAGACTCAGCGTTCCTGTGATAGCTACATGTGAGGATGTGAAATAAAACACATCAGCAAAATCCAGAGGACAAATCTCCTCATTCGGGCCCAGGAGGCAAAAGGCCTAGTCTGTATATTAAGTTTCATAAACCCAAGTGGCAGTGACCCCAAGTTATTTTAAAACATTTTTATGCAGTTCAAACACAGCAACATTCATGTCAGATTTTGCTGTTAAGTGGCTTCCTCAAATTTCCACTTACAGGAACAGAGACTTGAGTGTCCCTTCCTACAGTGTCGTGAGCAACCACAGGGACATTTCATTCGGTACCTCACCAACATTATTCAGGCAAGGAAACTGGGGTTTCTGAGAAGAGAGCTAAAATGAGGCACATTTCACAAAAGAAGACTAACAGGCAACTCCAGGGCTAAAGGCGAACTGGCCTCTGGTGGAGGGGTCCCGTGGGCTCCAGGCTGCTGCTGGTTCTCAAGATGCCCGACGGCAGCCAGGCGGCTCTGCCCACTGTCAGACCGACCACAGAGCCCACCAGTGTCCCCGTCTCGAGGCCAGGACTTCCACCTTACCATCCCCTTCCTGACGCACAGGTTCGTGCTCATCTGAGGCTACAAGGCGCTCAGGCCTCTCGCTCACCTGTCAGCTCACTGGGACAGGCTCGGTCACCTCCTGGGCTCTGGTCAGGGAGGCGCCGCCCGACACGCAACCTGTCCTGGGTCCGAACACGGTCTACACCCAGAGACACGCGCTCACGCGACCTCCCTGCCTGCCACGGGGGCACCACCACACCCGGCTCCTCTGCAGGAAGCTCTCCCCCATTACTGCCTCCTTTGGAGCCACGACAGCTCAGAATCAAAACTCAGTAAGCTTACAAAACAGTCTTTTTAAGATAAAAATACAGAACCTATCAGAGGAGAGGAAAAAAAGGGCAACATAGCGACTATTTCCTGTCGGCCTGCGGGCATGAGGAGCAAACCCGAGAGCTGGTGGCGAGTCCCCGCCGGGCTGCCCTCACCCCCAGCCATGGGTGCCCCGGAGAGCCGGCGGCGACTCCCCGCCGGGCCGCCCTCACTCCCAGCCACGGGCGCCCCCTAGAGCCGGCGGCGGGTCCCCGCCGGGCCACCCTCACCCCCAGCCACGGGCGCCCCCTAGAGCCGGCGGCGGGTCCCTGCCGGGCCGCCCTCACCCCCAGCCACGAGCGCCCCTGAGAGCCGGCGGCGACTCCCCGCCGGGCCGCCCTCACTCCCAGCCACGGGCGCCCCCTAGAGCCGGCGGCGACTCCCTGCCGGGCCACCCTCACCCCCAGCCACGGGCGCCCCCTAGAGCTGGCGGGGACTCCCTGCCGGGCCACCCTCACCCCCAGCTACGAGCGCCCCTGAGAGCCGGCGGCGGGTCCCCGCCGGGCCGCCCTCACCCCCAGCCACGAGCGCCCCTGAGAGCCGGCGGCGACTCCCCGCCGGGCCGCCCTCACCCCCAGCCACGGGCGCCCCCTAGAGCCAGCGGCGACTCCCCGCCGGGCCGCCCTCACCCCCAGCCACGGGCGCCCCCTGAGAGCCGGCGGCGGGTCCCCACCGGGCCGCCCTCACCCCCAGCCACGGGCGCCCCCGAGAGCCGGCGGCGGGTCCCCACCGGGCCGCCCTCACTCCCAGCCACGGGCGCCCCCTAGAGCCGGCGGCGACTCCCTGCCGGGCCGCCCTCACCCCCAGCCACGGGCGCCCCCTAGAGCTGGCGGCGACTCCCTGCCGGGCCACCCTCACCCCCAGCCACGAGCGCCCCTGAGAGCCGGCGGCGACTCCCCGCCGGGCCACCCTCACCCCCAGCCACGGGCGCCCCCTAGAGCCGGCGGCGACTCCCCGCCGGGCCACCCTCACCCCCAGCCACGGGCGCCCCCTAGAGCCGGCGGCGACTCCCTGCCGGGCCACCCTCACCCCCAGCCACGGGCGCCCCCTAGAGCCGGCGGCGACTCCCTGCTGGGCCACCCTCACCCCCAGCCACGGGCGCCCCCTAGAGCCGGCGGCGACTCCCTGCCGGGCCGCGCTCACCCCCAGCCACGAGCGCCCCTGAGAGCCGGCGGCGAGTCCCCGCCGGGCCGCCCTCACCCCCAGCCACGAGCGCCCCCGAGAGCCGGCGGCGGGTCCCCGCCGGGCCGCCCTCACCCCCAGCCACGGGCGCCCCCGAGAGCCGGCGGCGGGTCCCCGCCGGGCCGCCCTCACCCCCAGCCACGGGCGCCCCCGAGAGCCGGCGGCGGGTCCCCGCCGGGCCGCCCTCACCCCCAGCCACGGGCGCCCCCGAGAGCCGGCGGCGGGTCCCCGCCGGGCCGCCCTCACCCCCAGCCATGGGCGCCCCTGAGAGCCGGCGGCGGGTCCCCGCCGGGCCGCCCTCACCCCCAGCCACGGGCATCCCACCCTCCAGGGGCCGGCACTGCTTAAGGCACCTCATCACTTCTACACAGGTGTATCTGCACAGCAGACGCTCGTAAAAGCCCTCGAGGGACACACTACGATGATCCCCATCTCACAGACAGGAAAACTGAGGCACAGGAAAGCTGAGCTTCCCCACGCCCCAGAGCACACTCGTGAGGAGCCAGGATTCAGGCGTGAACCACGACCCATCCTTGTCAGACAGCCTCCCAAGCGGACGCGAAGCCCGTGTGTGAGTCCTTCCGAAGTCCTAGATGCTCTAGGTCCTCGTTTAAGGAAGGCTTTGGGTTCAGCGTTCGGAAGATAATACACATACAGAGCAGGATGCCACATTCAATCAGTAAACATCAGTTCAAAACCAGGAACAACTGAAAACTGTTCAGCGAGGTTGACAAGAAACAAAAAGCTTACTTTTTCTGAAGCTTCCGATTTTTTTCAGCTTGTCCTCCCAATTTGCTGAGCCCGAGGGCATCCTGAGATGAGTTTTCTGTCTCTGAAACACCAGCTAGGAAGAAGCAGAGTGGTTGAGACACGAAGAGGAAACTGGCAGGGCCAAGTCAGGCGTTTCTGTGAACAGCCGGAGGACAGCGCAGAGAGCTCTAGAGGCCGACTTTCTGACCAGACACCGCCACACGGGAAAGCGCTCCAGGGCGGCAGCCCAGCCGCTCGGGAGACCCTGAATCAGGTGGGGCGGATGGACCCACCGAGAAGACGGACGCCTCCTCCGCTCCTGCCCCGGGCGGATGCCAGCGTGAGGGACAGGAGCCTCGTGGGGACAGGGCGGGGGACTCGCCGCGGCCCTCCCCCTCCCCGCGGGGAGGCACCCACCTGGCCCCAGCGCCTCCTTGCCGGGGTGTCCGGGCCGGCCCTTCTCCTTCTTGCCAAACAGGCGGCCGATGGAGGACTTGATGCCCTTCTTCTTCGGGGCCTTGTGCAGCGAGTCCTGGCTGCTGTTGCTGCTGCTCGGGTTGCTCACGGGCCCGTCCTGAGAGCCGGTCGAGCTTCGGGAGAGAAAGCGCCTTTTAACCGGCGCCCTTGAGCGACCACACCCCGACACGGCTACTGACGGGGCCGGCCTCCCAGCTGCACCTGCGCCCCAGCCTCGCGGCAGACGGCGGGGCCTCCTTCACCAGCCACACCCTACACGAGCAACGCAGGCTCCCGGCCACAGACGACCGCCCTGGGAAGCTGAGACGCCCTGACTCGCGCTCTCCCCGGAAGAGGGCTCGACCCAAGACCCGCTGGGGCAGAGGGCGCCCCAACGCTCCCTCGGGTCACCGCTCGGCGGGTGACGAGTACCCTGGAGGCGAGTGCACCCCGCTGCCCGCAGGGCGACCGGGAGCTCCGCAGGCGGTGGTCTGAATGCGGACACTGTCAGTCTCAGGGGGTGACAGACAGGCTCCTGAGAGGAGACCCTTGAGGAAAAGGGAGGGACTCTCAAGAGTGAACCCGAGGCATGGAGCCGTCACCGTCAGGAACCCGCCCTGGGCCGGGCAGACCTCTGGTAAGGGCAGGAAGAAAGCTCCCACAGGAGTCAATCCACAGACGGAGGTTCTCTAAAAGCAGCGAGGCCACTGAGCTCTTCCCCCCAGCACCTGAAGTTCACCACTAAACACAGACGCCGAACCCAGTGGGATTCCTTTAAAACCACCCTTCCAGCTCTTTCAGCACGAGGGGCGTGGGGCTCCTGAGCCTGACGACGCGCGCGCAGGCCGCTTACTTGCGGGCGTCCCTGACGTCCTCGTGGCTGACTGCGTGCAGCGCCCCTGGGTGCAGTCGGTCCAGCCGCAGGGACCGCGGCGAGGCGGGGGGCGAGGTTTCACATTTGATGGTGGTCTTGTCATCTCGTACCTCTTCCCGGGAAGCTGGCAGCTGAGGGAGTGAGGTAAGTGTAAAATTGGTAACAATGGACTGTGTCTAAAAAAGCAATCACACAGACTTTAACATTATAACCAGAAACTTATTTGAAAATCTATTAGATATGCTTTCTGCCAAGTACAAAAGAAAGCCTTGTGCTGGCTTAATGCCATCTTAAAGGACCGTCTTGTTCAAGAAAAGCAGGGCCGTGGGGCAGCGGGAGCCCCCGGCTGAGTGCAGAGACGGAGGCGAGCCTCCCTGGAATCCAGCGAGCGGACGGCCCCGCGGGGCAGCACAGCGGAGCCATGCTGGCACCACGGGCCCTGCACGGCATGAGCTGCCCGGGTGAAGAGGACCGTGCTCATCACCAGATAAGGCTCAGATGGACCACTAGCAAGAGCAAGAAACCTCTCAGCAAAGCCGTCCAGACCTTTCCGCTTGAAGGAGAAAAGGACACAGCCTGTACCACCACCCGAGGTCATCTTTAGTGATGCTGCAGGTTACCGGAGCCCATGACAGCAACTGAAACACAGACAGAAAAGGTCCCGAACCCCTCCGTGCGAACACCACGTGTCTGGCTTGTGTTTCTCGGTAACATACAGACTGGGGGCTACACATTGCAGAGCTGACACCCAGTTCGAGTGTAATTTGCTCACTGTGGTTTATATAAAGCACCCCTAGGTCTTCACCATGAGGTGATCTCGTATCATCTAGAGGGTGGGGTGGGGAGGGAGACGGGAGGGAGGTTCAAAAGGGAGGGGATATATGTGTACCTTATGGCTGATTCATGTTGAGGGTTGACAGAAAAGAACAAAATACTATAAAGCAATTATCCTTCAATTAAAAAATAAACTAATTAAAAAAAAATGCTCTCTCCTGGACTCCCAGCTTTTCCGCTGGCCCTGGGTGTGAGGACAGGAAAGATGGGGGTAGCAACAGTGTGGGGAACAGATTAACCCCTTCAGGGTCCACACAGGTCTCACTTATAAATCTGGGTGTATGGTTAAGCCAGGGGAAGTTTTATGAAACAATCATGGCAAGCATATTTATAAACGAGTGTGTTGTTTTAAGCAACTAACCCGTGCCTTTTTAATAGGATTCTGTAAAGAATAATGATCCACTGCAGCCCCACCGCAGCTTGGTGACAACAGTGACTTAGTGCAAAATCCTGCTGAACTCATTTAACAGCGGCACCCTCCCCTGACCTCTAGCGACGACCCTCAGACAACAGAAGGCTACAAAGGCTAGAAATCGTCAACGTAGAACTGAACAGGGATCAGTCTCAAATTCAAGTTAGAATAACATTTATAAAAACCAGAAAACAACACAGAACAGAGCAGGGAGGTGACACGCCTGGGCTGACTGTGGACTCAGGGAGACAAACACCTGCCTCAGAGTCAGGACCATGGCCAGCGCTCCCCTGGCTGCCTCCTGAGGAAGGCCCCTGGGTCCCCAGCCCGGCCGCCCTCCCCCAGGAGGGAAGCCCGCCCCCCTGGCGCCCACGTGACTAGGACGGGCAGGACCGTGTCCTCACTCAACAGGAGGGCACAGCAGGCCACAGAGCCGGCGAGCAGCACACCCAGGCGACCAGCCCCAGGCCACCAGCCCCAGGCTGATGGAGCAGCTCCGCTGTGCCCAGCAGAAGGGCTCCCGGGCACTGAGCTGCCTGAACTGGAGCGCGGCTGCCCAAGACCTGCAGGGAGGCCCAGGAGTGCTCGGTCAGTGGGCTGGGAGTGGGAGAGGGACGAAGAAGGCCAGCCCTCGGGGCACTGGACTCCAACGACAGGGGCCCATACAAGTGACCCGAGGGGGAGGCCCCGAGCTCCCTCCTGAGGCTCCCTCATCAGGGATGCCGCGAGGGACACGAGGGCCTCTGGAGGAAAGCGGGCTGGACGGCAGCAGGGTTAAGTGTCCAGGCTCTGACCAGACCAGTCCGCACCACACTGCTGGGTGCGCGAGCCTGGGCACGGGGCCCGGCCTCTCTCAGCCTCAGTGCTCACGCCTGCTGAATGGGGGTGGCGGCAGCCTGGACCCCACCTGGGTGTCCGCCGGATGAGATGACACTTGGGACGCACTCGACGCGCGGCCTGGCACACAGAGGCTCCTGCACACTGCTGCCCCGTCAGTAGATGGGCTTCCCCCAAATCTAGCCTCTATGGCTCTGACTCAGTCATTTCCTTTACAAAACACTAAGTGGAAATTCCATGGTGGTCCAGAAGTTAGGACTTGGCACATTCACTGCCGGGACACGGGTCTGATCCCAGGCTGGGGAGCTAAGATCCCATAAACTGTGCAGCATGGCCAAAAAAGTAAGTAAAAATAACAAATAATACTATGTCTATTATAAATAAGCATGAGATGATTAGAAGGCAAACAAGTGGGAGAAAGGCCAACTGTTACAACTGTCCCACCGAACGACCTATTTCCAACAGAACCATCAGCATATTTTAAGTGGTGGGTGAATTTGATCACTTCCATTAAAATGTCAATTATTCACCAGTACATAACCACATTTTGTTCATTCACGTAAAACAATAAGGACTCTTTAATACTTCACAGAGAAACAAAGGCATGCTAAATTACTAAATATTTTACCTTTCTACGATGTTTCCTTAAATCACTAGGCTGATAGATGCATGCAAAGAAATGAAGAGAAACCAGATTTATTGCGACTTTGAAGCTAAAAATTCAAGAATCAGTATAGGCAAATACAGTAAAGCAAAAATGATGGCAAACATATAAGTGAGATTAAGATTCAGAGAACGTGTACCCGGAAACAGAACATTTTTTTGACTTCAAGAGTTAAATAAGCTATTCAAGATTTACAAGAGAAGCACTATAAATTATTACTCAGGAAGATACAATTCTGTTACAACATCGTGATTTATAAAGCACAGCATTCTGTACAACAAACGGCCTTAACAGCTGTTTGTTCTCAGCCAAACTTCTCTATAACTTATTTCTCTTAATAAAAAACATGTTATACTTTAAAATAGTAATTTAACTGATGAGGAAGTTACCATAATACCTATTTTAACACTGAACAAATCTAACCACCTATTGGACATTAATGTAAAATCTTTACCTAGAATTTGATTTAAAACTTCTCAAAATAAATTTATTAAAGCAGGTACCCTGTGAAAATATGTAAGAATGAAAGCTAGCATAATAGCAGGTGGAGTCTTTACATATTATGAACCATAGAAGATACTTTGTAAAAGAGTCTAGTAGAGACATTAACTGTGCAAAAGCTGATGAGATTTACAGGCTTAAATCCAAGCACCAACACAGAAAGGATACTGTGTCAAAAGTCCATTAATTCTACACTTAGAGGACCATTTCTTTATGTAAGGATCATCTCATTTATGAATTACCTGTGTTATGTAGTGTACGATCCATCTATATTATGCTTGTAACTGTACAGTGATACACTAATTAGAACTTACTGCTATGGAGGAAAAACACCGTTTACTGAGACATGAAGACAAAGCAGAGACCCCACTAAGGGGACGCACGCTGCGGCCCACAGCACCGCTGTGACCAGAGCGCGCGGGGAGGACGGGGGAGGGGAGACAGACGGGTAAAACTTCAGACTCGGAGGAGGCTGGGGTCTGGGGTCTGGGGTCTGGGCTGAGGACGGCTCAACAGACACTGGGATGAGACCGGAAATCAAAGCCAATGATGAAGGCAGACACGCCGTCAGAGAGCTCCACAACAAGGAAAACACACACAGAACTGTTCCTTCACAAATACTCGGAAAGAAATCAAGCATGAAACCACAGTGAAATCATCAAAGAATTTTAAATATCAACTCATCAGCCAATGATGCAAATTATAAACACAATGTGTCAAAAGACCACAAAATGGACTAGTTACCACTTCACATGCCGCTAAAATGATTCACAGTTAATAATTTAATTATACGCTGGCTAACTATGCAGCTAAAATGAAATGGGTGGTAACAGAAAAAAGTGATAATACAAGTGCAGTTACAAAGCAGAGTGTTGTAAACATGATTTCATGGGGTAAACAGCAACACACTCAGAAAACCTAAGCTAAACACACAAGAAAGCTGGAACAAGTGCTTTAGAGCCGCACACTCTGTCACCAAAAGCCCTGGTCATCATCCCCTTTTTAGACTCAGAAGAGTGAGGAAGCCCGACTCCTTCCCTGGGGCACCGGGCACTTAACCTGGTTTCACACGCAGAGCTGGCCCAAGCGCGCAGCTAGGTTCATTCATCAGCAAGCGGGCCAGTTTAGATGTTTGATTCTGTTCCCACCACACGCCCTGCGCCCTGCAGCCAGGCATCCCCAATGTAAAATGTGCTGCGCGGTTTTCACATGCCATGAGAGCTGCCTATGGTTACTTTCACGAAACTATTCCCTGAGAACAGAAACTCCCCTGCAGCTGCTGTGGCCAGCACAGGCCAGGCCCAGTGTTACAGAGGCCGGCTCTGAGTTCATGACAATGTGCTAAGCTGGCGGTCCAAATATCAAGACTAATTTGTCGCTGTGCGATTATGGAATGATTAAAGACTAGCCGATTTTAAGAATTTTAGACCGCTAAGCATAGCAAATGTACCTGATTTTCTTCTGGGTAAAAAGAGAAAAAAAAAAAACAAAAAAAACACAAACCAGTATGCTGGGAGAGGGACACGGCAGGGAAAAGGCAGACACGTACCAGAGTCATGATGCCCAGCCGGTCTACTTCCCGCGCCGGGCTGTGCGGCATCCTCCGGGGTGTGGATCGCCCGCTGCTGGGCGGGGAGGAGCCGGCAAGCGAGGAGGCGGGATACGGGGGGATGGAGCTCATTGATCTAAAACGACCAAGGTTGTCTAAGCTCCCGCTGCCCACCCTGCTCTCGATCTCCTCCGCCCGCTGCTCCGTGTTCTCCTTCTCCTCTTGGATCAACCTAAAATAGAACAAAACCTGTCACCTGCCTTTGTCAGCAGAGGAACGTGTCTGGACAACAAATTTGGGCTTGCATTCTGTGTCACGATTAGCAAATTCCAGGAGCAGTTGCTCAATTAACATCTCGGCAAAAAAATTTGACTTTCCCTCTTTTGAATATTCTCAAACTTAGAATAGCTTATCACCGAGTCTTACAAAGTGGCCCCGATCATTCACATTTGATTTTACTTCTTTACTCTAACATTCTGATGGGGCCTGCGCAGCAAGTCTCCCTGTGAGGCGATATCTGAAGTTGACAACCTTCACCTTCCCTGCTCTCAGGGCAGAGATGCACGCCAGTGCCTCAAGTCTTTTCCACTGGGAATCGGGAACTCTGCACAATCAAAACAGCCATTCACGAACAAGCTGGAGTTCCTAAACACAAGTCTCCAGACCAGATGAAGGGCTGAGTTGATCTTTTTTTTTAAGGTTGTATTTGAACAAACGCATCACTTGATGAGGTTCTCCACCAGCTTCGTGTGAGTTTCTGGATTCATGTCAATTGTGCTACATTAATCTATAACTCATGATTACTGCTCTTCTCCCCTAATTTGTAGTGGAAGATTTTATGTAGCAGTTTAAATACTTGATTATGCAAATAAAATAACTTTCATATTAAAATACAAAATTCTTACAGGTCGTCACCTCTCCAGTTTCACTTCTACTTGTACATCCTGAAAGTTTTTCACTGTTGATAACAAGTCGATGGACAGAATTTACCACTGCCATCAAGTCAACTTGCTGCATAAGGAAAAATCACTTTTACCTGACAACATGCAGTTAAAAATGCAAGAGAACAGCATCGAAACATGTATATTACCTAGGGTGAAACAGATCACCAGCCCAGGTTGGATGCATGAGACAAGTGCTCGGGCCTGGTGCACTGGGAAGACCCAGAGGGATCGGGTGGAGAGGGAGGTGGGAGGGGGGACCGGGATGGGGAATACATGTAAATCCATGGCTAATTCATTTCAATGTATGACAAAAACCACTGCAATGGTGTAAAGTAATTAGCCTCCAACTAATAAAAATAAATGGGGAAAAAAAAAAAAACCGTTCCCTAGTTCCTGCGGGGATGAGGAAGACACCTCTCTGAGCCTGTCTGTGCTCGAACACGGCCCACGAGCAGTCCGTCTACAGCGTCAGAAGCGCAGGCAGCACCACATGCATTTGCTGGCTGTGCCGCTCACCCGCATTTGCTGGCTGTGCCGCTCACCCCTGCCTTCCCCCCGAGCCCCCCCGTGCTCAGCTGACAGGAACGGGCACCTCAGCCTGGGCTGACGTGACGAGAACAATCTGAGCAGCAGCTCTGCCAGGTCCTGCTCAGGGTCACCGGCTTGCGCCCACTCTGAGTATGGACTCGGGACAGGGGCATGGCTGTGTGGGTGTGGCCCAGGCAGGCCGCGGGGCCCCCAGCCACCCGGCTGCACCCAGACCCAAGGCCCCCTGCTCACCACAAGGCAGGCCTTCGGATTCTATCCCATTTTGTAAACTGTTATAACTGCCAAGACGGTGTCTAAAGAAAACATCTTAAATAGACTGATGAGATGAGAAAAACTCAAACACGCGTCCTTGCACCACTGTCCTGCAACAAGCTAATTTTCACACTGTGCTAACTTAAAAAGGGAAACGCAGATCTGAGTGGGAATTCGCCAACCCCAAACCCCAGCATTTCTGTTTCAGGTGGGTTTGCATACTGGAATGTGGGAGGCTCCGAGGGACACACGAGGGCGAACCCTCGGTGCTGGAGGGTGCACAGGCCGCAGGGGACACCGCCTCGGCATCTCGCCCACCTTGGGGTTCAGAGCTGGGGGGGACACAACCCCCCACACTGGACAGAGTGCCCTGGAGGACTGAGCTCTATCATCAAGGGCGATCTCGGAACTGAAAATTTTGAACTGAAAATTCCTGAAGCAGACCCGAAATCAGTTTTCTTCCTGTGGACGCTCAGACTTCTCTGAGTACAAGACAGCTCCGCAGAGGGGTCGAGTCTCTGGGGCACTGGGCTCGGGCGCACCCACCGGATCTCTTTGTTGATGGCGTCCAGCTGCTCCTGGAGCATCATGGCCAGAGTCTGGGCATCGGCCTGCCCACTGGGGGACAGCAGGGCGGCAGAGCTGAAGGGCGTGGCCCCGTCGCCCTCGCCGTCAGACACGTCCACGTCGCTCTCGAATGCCTGGGCCACGTTGGCCAGCACGCTGGCCTGCTGTGCGCGCTCCCAGTCCTGCTCATTCAGCGTCTGCACCTGGGCACGAGAGGACCACGGCTTGTCAGCAACATTCGGCGCGGCTCCCGGGGATCAGGAACAGAACACAAGCTTACATGGAAGCCCCGACTGTGGATAAACGGCCATGCTTATGAGACGCTGCCATCTCTTAAGCGAGCAGGACTCAGGAAACGGGAGGAGGAGCCAGCTCTCAGATGGCCTGGTGACACTCAGGTCTTAGCGTGGACGGGAGGCAACCAATCCTATGAGGTTATTCACAAGGGAGGGCTGATGGAGTCAGAGACAAAAACCAAAAACTAAAAAATACATCCATGCCACCACCAGCCGGGATGAAGAAAGTGAGAAAAGAAAATGCTTCAGCTCTGCAGCTGCTGGGTCCACCTCGGCGGTCATCACTTGTACTAGCTCCCCGAGAAGCGCAGTCCTCACGGGTTCCCAACCCTCCGTTTTCCGGGCTGAACATGCGTAGACAGGGGCGAGCGGGGGCAGCCAGGGAACGGGAGGGCCAGCTCCCCACCTCTCCTCCCGGGTCGCAGGCACTCGGGCCGTCCTGGGGGCTGGCCCCTCACACCGCAAGGCAGCTCTGTCATCAGAGACGCACGGGAGAGCGCCTGCTGGGGCCCGTGCCACCCGCCCGCTCCCACAGCTCACACCCTCCTCTGCCTACGGGTTCACCCCCATCAGCTCGGGCAGCACATCCTCTCCCTTCTCCGGCCTTAAAATCGCACCACGGGAACCAGCAGATTCCTCCTCCAGGTCTCCCTGCGTGCCCACTGCAGCCTCTGAGAGCTCCCCGGGAGCGGCCTCTACTGTACCCCTCCCACCCGGTCTCTGCAAGCAGGCGGTGTGCCCACCCTGCAGAGCAGTTCCCCGGGGGCTCCGAGGACCCCATGTTACCAAGCCCCCACCCCACCCCCCGTGTCTCTCCCTCGGCTCCAGGCCCCACCCTCCCTGGGGCTCTGCCTCAGTCCCTTGCGCCCCTTCTCAAGCTCAGAACGTGGGGCGCCCCCCGGCTCTACCCCTGCACCCCATCTCTCTCCATGGGCACCTGCCTGGTGACTTTATCTTGCTCGTGCCTTTAAACACCATCTGTATGCCCACGACCCCAGTCCACCTTGAGCTGAGTGAGTCCTCTCCCAGATCCAGGCCGGAACACTCAGCTGCTGACCTGACACGTCCCCTGGACAGGCCCGTCCACCTCCACAGGGCCCTCCTCACCACGGGAAACAGGCTCCGGCCTCGAGCTGCTCAGCCCTGAGCCCGGGTCCTCCCTGATGCAGCCCTCTCTCCCTTGTCCCCGCTGGCTGACACGACCCTTGATCTATCTCCGATTGGCTACTTCTCTTCCCGCCCCCGGGCCTCTGGTTCAAGGTCACCCTCCTGGGGTCACCTCGCTGACCACCCTGCTCACACACGACCGTCCCCTCTTCCTCGGACAACGGGCACTCTGGTCTCTTCTCCCTGCTCATTACTGTCCGGCAGGCTGTGCGGGTTTAAAAACGTGTCAAGTTCTTCCATCCTCCTCCCTTCAAGAGGCAGAGGGGGCAACTCCTGCTCAGCTCCTGAGCGAGGCAGGACCTCGCAGCTCACTCTCGCAACAGAAGTGAAGGTGTGCGGCTTCCGGGACCGGGGCGCAAAAGGCCCCGGGCTCCGCCCCGCGCTCTCGCTCGCAGAGGGCGCTCAGAAGAGGGCCAGGCCATGCAGAGGCCCCACCAGCCAGGTGAGTCTGCGAGCCTGCCATCCAGCCCCGGGGGCCTTCCAACGCCTGCCCCCTCAGGAGGCCCTGACTCGGCTACAACGCACAGAAACTGTGGGCCGTGACCTGCTCCCCGCGACGTCACTAAGCTTTGCAGTGAATCGTCATGTAGCAGTGGATCAAGAACACACATGGTTTTTAAGTCACTGCTGGGGTCCTAGTTCCGATGATGTCTGGCCTAAACTAGCTGCCCACTGAACTTGGAAGCTCAAAACACAGAGACATGTGAAAAAATACATGCCATGAACGAGGCAGAAATACAAAGGCACTTAAACCTCCGACGAGAATTCTTCTCACTAAAACATGAGGGATGTGTGGATCCATTTACTCGCACAATGATTTCAAAACTGTGCTAACTAGTACTGTGCTGGGCCTCACAGTAAGCCATAAGTTATCAAAACTGGTTCTTTAAAAAAAAAAAAAACCCATGCCTTAAAAGTAAACTCTTAGCCAGAAAAAGGAAAATGGGAAGACGTAAAGCGATCTACCAACACTTGGTTCCAAACCCCCGTCAGGACCACAGTGTGAGGGGCAGGGCCTCTCAAGGTGCCCCCCAGGGATGGGCGGGGGCGGGGATGGGGAGGGGCCTCGCCTTGGACGGCTCATCACGCAGCGCTGCCAGCCGGCCTTTCTGGGGGCGCCGCAGGACCGCCGCCCCACCGAAGGAGTCTGCAGGCCCATCTGCCACAGGGAACCGGAAGTCCGGGACGCTGCCCAGGTGCGGTCGGCTGGAACACACAGGAAAGAAGAGCGCTGTCAGAAGGAGAGAGCTCGCTCTGTCAGTCAAGCCAGAGCCTGTCCATTTGGAAAATCGGCAATTTCACAGAAAAGGGGCCCCGGGGCAGGCACTGCCCTCCTGGCTCCAGCAGCAGCAGGCCGCCCGCTGCCCCGTGAACACTCAGGTCTCAGTGCCGCCAGCTGGGAAGCCCCCACATGTGGGGAAGGCAGTGGTGACACGAGGGTGCGGTCGGCTGCCCGGGGCTTGGGGCCGGCCGTCCCCCCGGAGCATGCCCTCAGGTCCCGGGGCGGGCCTGCACCTGCTCTGCGGGTTCCTGGGCACCCGCACTCCCCTCCGGCCCGTGCCTGCTCTGCCCTCCACCTCCCGCGTGACGTCCGCAGACCACAAACATCCGTCTCCCTGGAACACCGTCTGCCCCACTGAGCTTCTAACAGCGCCTCAGACAGCCTGCAGCACGAAGCCCTCGGACCCACAGCTCAGAGCTGAGCCGCACGGTGTTTCCCAGGAGATGCAAGTCTGGAATCTCCCAGAGCCACACTTGTCTTCCCTCCTGTCTCGCCTCCCTCCTAATGGAGCCACTCCTTTCTCTGCTCAACTTCTACCACAGCACACTTGGGAATCGAGTGGGAGCTACGACACAGTCCTGCCTGGGGCCACCTGGGACTGTGTACACTCGCGGGTCCTCTGAAGGCCACAAAGGCCTCTGGGTTGGGTCGCCCCCCCCCCCCACCATCACTTCTCAGTCCCCTCGCGGAGTGCAGCCTCTGTCTCTCTCCCCCACCTCACCTGAGGCTCTTTCTTCCAGGAGGTCTCAGAGACAAGGTGACCAACTTCACTGGGAGGTCCTGCCAAATACGCCGAGCCCGCCTTGCCTCTGAGCCAGGTTTTAGCCCCTACTCCCTGCCTCCCGAGCCAGCCTGCCCTGCCCGCAAGCCCAGCCCCGAGGCTCCACCTGTGCCTCTGAGCCACTGACCCCTCGAGAGCAGCCTCCTGAAGACACCCCTCCCTCGCCCAGCCACTGCAGCCCCCCATCTTCACAGCACAGTGGCCCGTCCTGCCCCGCGGCTGCCGCCTCTTCTCGGCTCTCTCTCTCGCTGACACACAGGGGACTGGTGACCAGGCTTCTCCCTCTGAACCCCCAAGCGCGCCAGGCCTTCGGGTCCCAGCACCAGCGCCCTCCTCGTTACCCAAAGCCCCCAGAGCAGGAGGCTGTGTCCACCTCCTCTTCCTCCACCGTCTACACAGTCCTCCGCACACTCACCTCGCCCACCCCAGGAGCAGGGGGTCTCCCCCTCTGACAGCACCAGCCCCACACCCTGGAGGAGCTCTGCGGGCAAGGCTGCCCACGCCCCCACCCGTCCTGCAGGGCAGGCGTGCCCCCTGACCTCCACCCACCGTGGTTTCGGACACGGGCCAGTTTCTGGCTCTGCCTCTGTCTGCAATGATATCCCTTTTCTCCAGAAGAAAGCTGGGCGCGGGCCCTGGACCGCGAGGGTCCCCTAAACACGCAAATGCAGAAATGTGCGTGCGGGCTCCAAACTATCTCCTAAGTCAGGATTCAAGCAGGAGTCGATTTCCTACAGATGAATGGATGTCGCCAGTGAAGCACTGTAATAACCTTTGCTAAAGTTTAAATCTCCCTTGTGACCATTTTCCATGAAGCAGCCAAAGAAGAATCTAAATACTTAGTAAAAATTACTGTCCCTATAACAAGGAGTAAGAACACAAGGATGCTGCGTAATCTGCTGGCCTCATTTACAAGCTGGGGGGGTTCCTCCCATGGCAGCCACCGCAGGTCACGTCTCAGTCTCCGTTCACGTAAAATGACTACAGGTCGTTAATCTTCTGCGATTCTTAAGAAACACCAGTGTCACAGTCTGTCAGGCCCCTCAAATGAATACACCCAAATATCAGCTGGTCCGCCCCCCACTTCCAAACCTCCAACTCTGGTTTTGAGTTTTGTCAATACTGTGACCACCACTCTCCCTAGCACCTAGTTCGACCCTAAGGAACGATGCTTGTCTCTTCCCTCTTGCTGGCCACGAAGCTACAGGCTCCTTGAGGCGCGACTGTGAGCGACTCCCAGGCACGCTGTCTGCAGAGCAGACGGGCCCTTGTCCCCCTCGGCAGCGCGGAGGGGAGCTGCCTGGGGGGCGCCCTACCCGTGGTGGAGGGGAGCCCCTCGCAGCCTCGTCTGCTCCAGTTCGGCTCTCAGGGTTTCCAGGTTTAGAATCAGCTGGTCCTACGAAACAGCAAATGACAGTCTGCACCACTTGCTTTCCAGATGTAAAATGACTTGCGCCAAAATGGGCATAACAGCTTACGTTACTAGTTATCAACTCTGAACACTTTAATTCTGAGAAAATTTCCTCTTAGAGTCCCACAGCAAACAAACACTCAGAGCAATATTAAACTTATAAACCATAACTTATAAACTTATAAACTTATAAACCATAATGAATAAGAAGTTACACTTCAGCTGTAGAAAAGCTTCTGGAGGAAATATGGCAAGCCATCACCAGCAATGAGGTCTGCAGAGAGAGGCTGGACTTGGGCCGGGGGCGGCGCCAGGACTCCCTCTGCTGCCCTCGCCCCTCACTGCTTTAAATGTCTCCACCCACTCCTCTGCACCCCACTCCACCTCCTCATGGGGTAAAACAAGTCACACGGGCCAAGTTTCCGAGTCGCTCCACTCAACCCAGCAGCTCTGGGCTGTGGCTGCGGCAGGCACTCGTCTAGTGCAGCCCCAGAGTGCAAGAGACAGGCTGGTGCAGAGCTCCATGTGGAAATCACACAGAAGATGTCAGGACTCACGGTGAAAAACAGAACACAAAGTAGCCCATTCACTTCTAGGAAATTTTAGATCGTATAGTGGCTCATAGTATCTTTCTGACGGACAGCACTGTCCACGTGAAAGGCTCATGCTTTGTCTCAGCTCTCGGGTGAACCCAGAAAGGACTACTTGGAATTCTGAACCGCACACGGCGGCCACACACTCTAAATCCACCTATAATGCAAACACACTCAATGTTCAAAACCAGAAACGCTATACACGGTACAGCAGTGGACGAGCCACAAAGAAGATGTAACTCAACTTCCGCTAAGCATCTATAGTAACTGTAACAATGAACCCAGCTCAATACAGCTCTTGACAGATTTCTGAATGATTTAGAGATTTAAGTACCTTGTCGTTTTGCATTTCTTCTAATTGCTTTTTCGCATTTTCAACTTCCCGTAGGAGAGAATTCTGAAAAAGATACAAACAGTGCTTTAGGGTCAATTCTTACAGACACTGCGTGGACCGCGGGACGGCTACACTTCTGTCTGAAAGCGTCAAGCACCTCGGGAAGAGTGGCAGGCCTCGCGCCCAGCATGAGGTGCCTCTCCTCCTTTCCTGACTGATCTTCTAGATACAAGAAGGCTGGGTCCCTGGGGTAAGTGGAACTGCTTTAAACTTGTTTTCAGCTTGTGCAGTTCAGTGGTCACCCAGGAAATTGGCGTAGGTTTCACATGCAGAATTCAAACCCAAGACAAAGCTACCCCCACCTCAGGGCCGGCCCGCAGGTCAGGGTGAAGTGAGGGGCCCGCCCTGTGTGGTCTCTAGTGGGTTTTGTGGGGGAAAAACGTGCTGCAAACTTGTAGTGACCACTGGTCTCTCTCGGACAAGCGTCGCCCAAGCGCCAACCTCTGGGAAGGTTCTGGGCCTCATCTTTAGGGCACCGGTGTAGCTGGGACAGGTTTTCACCAAACCTGAACCAGACTGCTGCCCACTGAGATGCTCTGATGGAGGTTCGCAGACATTTTCCAAAGCAAATGAAAAGAGAGAAGGCTGGAGTTGGAATATGAGAATGCTTACTTTGAGTTGATTCAGTCTTCTCTAGCACAGCACATAAAAGCTACTGAACTAAAACTCACTGACCAGGCGCGTCAGGCCTCAGCTGCATCACACGGGGCCGCCTTTGTCGGGGTCGCCCCGCAGCATGCCAGCTCCCCAACCTGGGGCCGGCCTGCGTCCCTGAGCTTGCAGGGCAGGCTCTCAACCATCGGACTGCCAGGAAAGCCCCAGACATAAACTTCTAAGAAAGAAACCAAGGGTGACCTAGAATAAAGGTGAGGGTGGGCCTAGCAGCAAGCCGGAGCACGGCGGCTGGCAACCTCGGGGCCAGCGGCGGATTCGGCTCACGGATGCTGTGAGGCTGCGGGCACACGGCTGTCTGCTCCTTCATATACTGCCTGTAGACGCTGTCACACTTACTGAGTAGCGTGAAGGGCTGCTACTCAGCTATTCGTAACCAGTAAAGACCGTCACTGTGGGGCCCTTTATGGGAACAGTTTTCCAACTCCTGACCTGGAGGTCCCACCCCGCCGCCGGCCCCCCGACAAACCCGGCCGGGCTGGGCCAGACGCGCCTCTCTGTAAAGCGGCCACAGGGCCGGCTCACCTTATCCTCCAGAGCAGCCATTCTCTCCTTCAGATGAAGCTGAAGCCTCTCGTTTGATTCAGACAGAAGCTTATCCACGGTATCTGATAAGCGTTTATTGTGTTCTTCATTCATTTTTTCTCTCTGCCTTGCCTAAAACAGGAAAAACAAAAACTCATCAATTTCAAGAACAAGCACGGTCATTATTTCAAAAGCACCGGAGAGCAGCAACGTGAGCAGCCCGTGCCCTGGCTCCCGAGGCGGTCCCCTCCCATGGCCCCCTCTGGGGGGGCGCTGGAGCACCAGCAGAGCAGACGGGCAGGTGCAGAGGGCGGCGGGGACTTCACTTGCCAAAGGTCACTCCCAACACTTCCATTTGGCAGAGCACCTGGGGGACCTTACTGTCACCAGCCATTGCCTGTCCAAGGGGCTCGGGGAGCAAGCAGATTTATACTCAGAAACAAGCAGACTTTAAAGGGGATCAGCTTACACACACATTGGTGGAAGAATTTCCCAGTATAAAAACAGAAGCTTGAGTCTGGATTAAGGGGGTAAAATGAATTCAATTTATAAAGCAAAAGGTTGAGAAAATTCATTTTGGAAAAAAAGCACATGGAGACAGACTTTCACATGTTTTCTTTATACACTACATCACTTGACCTCTATGTGCTGATTGCTGCTGTTCAGTCAGTCGTGTCTTTGTGACCCCATGGACTGCAGCATGCCAAGCTTCCCTGTCCCTATCTCTCAGAGCTTGCTCAAACTCATGTCCATCGAGTCAGTGATGCCATCCAACCATCTCGTCCTCTGTTGCCCCTTCTCCTGCCTTCAATCTTTCCCAGGATCAGGGTCTTTTCCAATGAGTCAGTTCTTCGCATCAGGCATTGGAAAAAGCATTGGCCAAAGTACTGGAGCTTCAGCTTCAGCATCAGTCCTTCCAATGAATATTCAGGACTGATTTCCTTTAGGATTGATACGTTTGCTCTCCATGCAGTCCAGGGGACTCTCAAGAGTCTTCTCCAACACCTCAGTTCAAAAGCGTCAATTCTGTGGCGCTCAGCCTTCTTTATGGTCCAGCTCTCACATCCATACATGACCACTGGAAAAACCATAGCTTTAACTAGGTGGACCTTTGATGGCAAAGTAATGTCTCTGGCTTTTTAACATGCTGTCTAGGTTGGTCATAACTTTTCTTCCAATGATAACTCATGTTCAGTTCAGTTCAGCTGCTCAGTCGTGTCTGACTGTGTGACCCCATGGGCTGCAGCACGCCAGGCTTCCCTGTCCATCACCATTTCCCAGAACTTGCTCCAACTCATGTCCATTGAGTTGGTGACGCCATCCAAGCATCTCATCCTCTGTTATCCACTCTCTTCCTGCCTTCAATCTTTCCCAGCATCAGGGTCTTTTCCAATACGATAATTCATATTAGAAAACCTCAAGCAATTTTTAAATGTAAAAACAAAGTGGGCAAGTCTGTGTTTTATAAAACGAACATCATGGAGAAGGAAATGGCAACCCACTCCAGCATTCTCGCCTGGAAAAGTCCACGGACAGAGGAGCCTGGCAGGCTGCAGTCCATGGGGTTCCATGACTGAGCACGTGTGCACGAGGGTGGAGGGAGATGGGTTGGTAGCAATAAAGTGGTAGAACTGAAAAAAAAAAAAAACTGAACATCAATTTCATGGTTTAAAAAGCTGTTTTAGGACCTACTGTATTAAAAAAAAAATGGAGAGAAGACAAAAGAATGATATATTTGAGATTGGCCCTGTGTTGGAAATTGCTGAAGCTAACTGATGGGTCATGGGTATTTATTATACTCCTTCCACTTTTGGGCATGTTTGAAGTTTTCCATCATAAAAAAATTAAAAAACAGATTATTTTCTGTTAAAACAGAACCTTCTCCAGAAGGTTCAAAAGCATCAGTTCTTCAGCATTCAGCCTTCTTTATGGTCCAACTCTCACATCCATATGTGACTACTGGAAAAAAAACAATAGCTTTGACTATATGGACCTTTGTCTGCAAAGTGGTATCTCTACTTTTTAATATGCTGTCTAGGTTTGTCATAGCTTTCCAAGGAGCAAGCATTTTTTAATCTCATGGCTGTAGTCACCATCTGCAGTGATTTTTGAGCCCAGGAAAATAAAACCTGTCACAGCTTCCACAATAAGGCATCGGCATTCACATATTTTTAAAACAAAAGTTTCCTTTGAATTGTCTTAGTCATAAACAGCATCCCTATCTCAACAGCCTCTGAGCAGCAGCTCTGAAAGTAAGGAAGCACGCCGTTGATTAGGAGACGTTGAGCTCTCTGCCAAGGCGGGGAGGGCGCCTCACCGCGGGTCTCCTGATGGGAATCAGAATCGCTGCCCCCCGGGAGCCCACATGTGATGCTCTGCAGTTCAGGCCCAAGAACACAGGTTCGGTAGGGACAGTACTGACGCCTAAGGCTGGACCTGGGATCCCCCCTCCATTTCCTGGAGGGTCCACATCGACGTGTGACCAACCCCTCCGGGAGACCTCTCTCAGGACTCGCTGACGCGAGCCTCCACCATCGCCCTTTCCTGATGTGCCTCCTGTCGCGGCGCGACTGCGGTTCTCCTCCTGCCCAGGGGCAGCCACCCCACACACCGTGTCTGGACCAGCAGTCTGGCATGTGGGACTCCAGCGCCTCCTCCGAGGCAAGCGAGCTGCACACCTGGGCGCCGTGCCTTCAGCTTCATGGGCCCCGGGCTGGCACCTCAGGTTTGTCCGAGGGGCACTCTAAGGCCCACCTGTACCCTGAGCAGCTCCCCGACTGGCTGCTCAGAGCAACAAGCAGAGTCCTTGGATGTGGGGACCCCCTGGCCCCTGCCCACCGCCTACGGGTGACCACCTCTGGCCCTGCTCCCGAAGAGGCGGGTGCCTGGGTCAGCAGATGGGGCCACACACGCACACGCTTGATGGTAGAGACGCGGCGGCGGCCCAGACACGGCCTCCCCGCCGGCACACGCACCCGCTGCAGCTCCTGGTTCTTCTCCTCCAGCTGGGCCTCCATCTGCCGCAGCCTCTCCTCGATGTTGCCATGCCTCTCCTCCGCCTGTCGGCCAAGAACAGCATCAGTCCCGCTCGCAGCGACCCCGTCCTGACGGCACGCGGGCTATGACTGCAGGGGCGGCAAGCGGGCCATGCTCTGTGCGGGCCACTGGCCCCGGGGTTCGCGGGGGGCACGCCCAACCCTGCTCACGCAGCCTGAGCAGCTTCGCGTGTGACACGTGGGTGACGGAGGGCGCCGGTGACGGGCTCGTGAGAGGAGACGTGCTCCCCCCGCCCCGGGCCCCACACCCGCGGCCGCTGCGCCCCCAACTCGGACTGCGTGTGGCGAGCCAGCGCGGGCAGCAGGCAGCGGCAGGCGCGGGACACGCGAGGCACACGTTCTACCTTCCTAAGCTGGGAGGTAAGTTCGAAGAGCTTAGCCTCCTGAGCGGCAGAGCTTCCGGAAGCCAAAAGGTCAGACTACAAGGCCGACCGGGGGCAGGCAGTAGGGATGCAGCGGGAGAGAAGAAAGCGGGCCTTGAGAGGAAGATCACAGGCAGACGGGCGCCCCCTGGCGGCTGCCAGTGACCCTGCCGGGCGGGGTGGGGGCGCTCTGCGAGCCGACACTGCCCAGACGGACGCCCCCGACAGCCGCACCAGCACAGGCCCGGCCCGCCCCTCCGTGCCCGGCCAGTGCCCACCGGCAGCGCGGGGCCACGCCTTTCCCTCCAGAAGGACGGGGTGGCCGGCTGGCAGTGTGGACAACGCCCCCAGCAGCGCCACGTCTCTCACCCGCGGGCTCCCGCGGACGGCGAGCTGGGAGCGGGGCCCGGGTCTGCCCGAGCCCTGCAGTGACTTATTCAAAAGAGTGTCAATAAAGACTTAAGAGTCCCCTAAGCGAGAATGGGATTTTCCTAGGTCTGAGAAGAACTGTCCTACTAGGGCTTTGAGCTGCTGGCTGACTGAACTCCGAGCAGCAGTGACTCAGAGCTGAAGCGGCCTGGGGACACGGAACACGGACAAAACGGAGGGAGTTAACGTAGGGGTGACACAGAAGCGCGGGCTGTCCGACACACAGGGAGTGCTCCCATCTCAGACGGGCAGCACGACCCCCGTGCCCGCGCGGACTGAGCAGCAGGGGAAGGGGCATGGTGGGATGGCACGGGAACAGGCCTTCCCCGCGGCCGCCCCCAGCGGACCCAGCGCGGCGCCTTGGAGAGCACGGCCACCTCTGCAGCCCCACCCCCACCCCCCCGGACCCAGAGCAGCACCTTGGAGAGCGCGGCCACCCTCTGCGCCAGCTCAGCCTCCACCTCTGGCAGCGTCTCTGCCCTCCGCAGCGTCTGCTGCAGCTTCTGCTCCGCCAGCTCCAGGCGCTCCTGCAACTGGCGGTTTTTATCCTCCGTCTGCAAAGCGAGAGCAGAGCGTGGAAACGGGCCAAGTTGCTGAGACAAAACCTAAATGCACGTGTCTACTGGATTAGTTCTGTTTTGGCAGCTGCGTCACGGTAAATTTCTCTCTCAGTGTTCCCGGGCTTGGCCTCAATGGGCAGAACACCTCCCGCCAGAGTGTTTGCTTTTCCTAAACATCCCCAAAGAAGTCTTAAAAAAAAAAAGTTCTTCTATATTAAAGAAGATCAGCTTTCGGTAGAATCTTATTCATTCTTGTTGACAAGTTAAGGGAAGAAGGGTTCAGTACGGACCCTTCTTAAAACATCACCAGAATCATTATTTGAAGGGAACCCTACTGACCACAGAGGGCCACGGGCATCTGAGCCAAAACACAGCTCCATTTCCACTGAGATGCAGACCTGATATGTGTGCCTGGTGAAATGCCAGTCAACTAATATTTGTAAACGTACCATTATTCTTTTAAAAGACCTTCTTACTCTGAAAAACTTTCAATTGGAAAATTTAGATAGATTCTTTTTTAAAAAAGAAAAAAAAGTTAAATTATCTATAAGCTCAGGTTCCTGAGAGGTTAACGTTTGTTTCTATTTTTTCTGTGTGCGTATTGCTCTATGAACATACACAAACAATAAGATATGCTTCAAAACCCTCAGAAAACAACAGCATATGGTATATAGTATTTTCTGATCTGCCTTTTACAGCCATTACTTTGTACATCGTAATGCTCTTAATTAGCATTCCACATCATAAATTTCAGTGGCTTTCTAGTATTTTATTTTTGTGGTGGGGCCAATGACACTGTTTGGCACACACCAGACCGACTCACTGTGTTTTGGAGCAGCCAGGTTTGGTTTTCCTGGTTGAGTCCTGATGATCTGAGACCCCACGGAAACAGGAGCGAGTGAGGCTCAGCAAACACAGGAGGTGCACACCCTAGTCAGTCTGGAGCACTGAACCTGCCTTCTGTCACAGTGACCCCGGTTCCCAGCAGGCAGCTGCTGCCATGAAGGTCCCTGCTGCTCTCTGCTCTTTCAGTAAAAACGCTAACGAGCCAACAGATCCACGTTCAATGAAGACAAGAGTCAGGCGTGGAATTCCACAGAATGGTTAATTCAAACCTGTAAGTTGCAGTCACCCCCGATTTTTAAAAAATGTATTTCCTTCCCGTTCCGCTGATTTACCATGATGTGCATCCACCCTTGTGAACACAGTACTTCAGGGTTATAAAGAACTTTATACTGGGACTTGATTTCCAACGTGGCAGTCACATGACATGGTCTTTACCGTCCTCCTCAGTAACGCACTACTATAAAAGTCAGACACAGTTCAGTAAAGGCCATTACCTGTCGATGCATAGAATCCTTATTTGCGATTTCATTTTCAAGTTTATCGTTGAGGTCGTGCACAGAGGTGGCTTCGCGCTGTGCGGCGAGGTAGCGTTTCTCAAGGGTAGTGATTCTCTCCTCCATGTCCTCCTTCTGGGCCATGGCCTACGCCGGGCATTGCGGAGGAGGAAAGGTAAGTCATTATCATGGAACGCTCCGATACACTTAAGAGTAAAAAAGCTGGGCTAAATCCTAACTTTCAAATCAAACATAAAGTTAGCGTCCTCAAGATTAAAGTCCTCGACATGGCAGTCTTCTCTGACGTGAGCAGAAACGCGCCTACCTCAAATGTCACATTTGCCACGACTGGCACCCGTCTGTCTGAACGTTCTGCCCGGCCACTCGGTTTGCCAAGCTTCTTTTCTACGTAATAAACCCAAACAACAAACAAAAAGTATACCAAACTACCCTGTTAGTGCAAGAATTCCAGGAAGGAAGGTAAGAAGTCAGGACCTCTGTCTGCTACACCATACAGGTGGGCTTGACCAAGAACAGGGAGGGACCTTCAACAGATCCAACAGGGAGCTCTGAGGCTCGTTTCCTCGGGTAAAAGTTGGAAAAATCTCATGCAATTTCCTCAGAATTAAAGTAAGAATATTAACAGGTGGAAAGAGAAGTGCAAGTTTAACACAACTGGAAGCAGCCTTCTCAAGCCTAGTCCTTCTAAAGCAGAGTCACACCCCGCTCAAACCAGGGCCAGAACTTGCTGCTGGTACAACTCCTGTTTGCCAGCCCAAAATCCATTTCAGGTCCCTCCCTGGTCACTAAGTAACCAATGTGGGCAAAGTCTGAACATGAAAAGTGAAAGGTCTTAAAAACGCTCTTTCCAGAATTCTCTACGTATTAAACTCTGCCACCTAATCTCCTCCTATTGCCAAAGAGTAGTGTGAACAGGTTATACAAACAGGTGCAAATGTTTCTGTTTTGAGTTCTCACACAGAACTACTGACACCAGGCTACTAAATAAGCACAGCTGCTGTAACACGTGTTGGAGGGGTCCTCTCCGAGACGGTCTCCCGGGGGAGGGGAGGGCAGGGTGGGCGCCGTCTGTCTGCGTACAAAGGCGAGGGGAGGCTCTTAAGAGGAGGCCGGGGCCCCCAGCACTCTTCTGCTTTCAGCGACCGTGAGGTTGTTTCTCATGAATCATGACACCCGCAGACACGACCTCCAGAAACGCCATGATTCTACACGGTTACACAGCACGGGCCTGAGGATCCAAGGGTGAGCCCACGCCATGTGACTTGTCTGACCGCTGCTACCAATGTCACACATCCCCTCAAGGATGTCAAGAACCTCAGAAAACTAGAGAAGACGGCCAGGCAAGCTGCCTCGGCAGAGCCCACACAGCACGCTCCCATCTCTCCGAGAGAACGGGCGCCACAGATGTCACCAGACTCGCCTCAGTGAATCAGAAGGCAATTTCAGCATCAGCAGGAACACAGGCGACAGGCAGGTGGGGGCTGAACTGGGAGACTGCGGTTGACACACACACACTACTGATCGTACGCGTAAACTCAGCAGTGAGTAAGGACCCGCTGCACAGCCCAGGGGACGCCACTTGGCGCTCTGTGGTGAAGTGAATGGGCAGGAAACCCAAAGAGAGGAATATATACTCTCACACACACACACACACACACACACACGGCTGACTCACTTTGCTGTACCGCAGAAACTGACACAGCAGTGTAAAGCAACAACACTTCACTAAATGAATGAATGAATTTTTAAACAAGGAACACATTGGGCCCCCTAGAACTTGCAGAAACGCGGAGTCCACACCCAGGGTGCAGCATGTGCAAGGGCCGCCCTCATGTTGGCCCACTGCCAACGGACCGCCCAGACCCGGCCTCTCTGCCCCAGAGCTGCAACGCAGAGGCAAGGAGGCGGCTGGTCGCAGCCTCGGCGGCGCTCTGCTCTAGCTCACGCAGCCATCCGGAGGCTGAGAACGCCGGAGGAGCAAGGGACCCACATCCCCCTCAGGACAACAGAGACGGCCGCCGTCACTCACTTCGCGGACATCCCGCTGCAGCTTTGTGTTCACTTCCTCGGACTTGATGAGGTCCTTCCGGGCCGTGTCCAGGTCCTCCTCCAGCTCCGTTACGTGGGCAGACAGGGCTGCCAGGCGCTCCTTCATCTGGCTCTGCTCCCGCGACTGCTTGTCAATGACTTCCTGGAGCTCGATCACCTTGGCCAGGTCTTCCTCGTGGCTCAGAGAGCCGTCGGAGGATCTCTAAGGGGGAAAGGAAGCCTTAGACGGCCGTGTTTCGGGAGGGAGGGAACAAAGTGCTTCCGGGAAATCAGTGAGGTTCCCAACAGCCCCGCACAGACTGGATGGTAAATGGAGAACCGGACAGAGCAGGAGCCCGAGGACTTGCCTCTCCATTGGCGCTTGGCGTGTTTTCCTGCTCGTGACTTACGTCAAGCACCCCATCCGTTAGTACCTTTTTCTGGTTATTCTGCTCTTTAAGAATCATCAGCTGAAACCAAAAAATTGAATGAGAGTAAAGCAGTAAGTAAAGACAGCAAAACTCCATTTGGAAAAACTCTAAACTGAAAACAACATAAAAGGAACACACGTGGTGATGCTATCCATCCCGAATACAACCAGGGGATTAGAGTCAGAATCCACCTTCTACTGGACAAAGGGGCACTTAAGAGACCCTGCAGCTCTGAACCACAAGTCGGGTTTACAAGTCATTAAAAGAACCCGGGTGGGCGGGTCCTCAACCAGAAAGGTAGATGACAGCTGATGTCCACCACTACAGCCTTCACCCTTTTTTGAAATGGAAGGGTAGGAACGACAGCCTGTAGCTGAAATCGCGCAGTGACTGGCCAGGCTCACCTCTTTGTGCGTGGTGCCTAGCTCCTCTTCTAACAAACTGCACCTTTCCAGCGCCACGCGCAGCCGCTCCCTCACCTGGAACAGAAGGCGCCGTGTCACCGTTCACGCGTGTGTTCACGGGTGCATGTACGTCAGGGCCCCCTCACTGTACACGCATCCCGATACGCGGTTACGGTGAAGGAGCACCTTCAATGTCTCTCATTGATCCTAACGTCAAGGAAATCCGCTTGTTAACAGCTTTCAGTTCCAAGTTTGAGAGAAAACATGTTACCTTAAATTAATTCTACTACCCAGTTCTCAATTGCAAATTTATATACAGAATATAATAAATCTTGAGACATGTATGCCAACTAATACTTTTCAACTGGGGGCTTCCCAGGTGGCTCAGTGGTAAAGAATCTGCCTGACAGGAAAGGAGAGCAGGTTCGATCCCTGAGTAGGGAAGATTCCCTGGCCACCCACTCCAGTATTCTTGCCTGGAAAGTCCCATGAAGAGAGGAGCCTGGTGGGCTACAGTCCACAGGGTCGCAAAGACTCGAACCTGACTGAGCATGTACGCAGGCAACACTTTTTAACCACAGAGACCTCTGTGACTTCTTACAGAAAAAACGTTATTTACAAGAACACAAGATGCTCAGAAGTCAACTAGTGACACAAACACGTGCATCGTCCACCTAACCAGGCAGCAAGTGGACAAATCCAGGAGGGCCGGGAGGCTGGTACCTTCTCGTCCAGGGCCTTGTGGTGCTCGAACAGTGACTTCAGCGCCTTGAGCACCTCCACCTCGCTGGACACGCCGGCGGGGGACTGCGCCTGCCGCTTGACCACCGTCATCCGGAGGGACCGCTCGTGCCGGGAGACCAGGCACTCCAGGTGCTCCAGGAGCAGCTGCGGGGCGGGGCCGGGGCAGCACCTTCAACCTCGAGCTTGGATCCGGGGCCAGCGACACCCCTCGGCCTCACGCTACGGCCAAAACCGTGCTAAGCAGGTCGGAGGCCCGCCAGTCCAGTCCAAAGGGAGAGTGGACTTCCCTGGTGGCCCAGCAGTTAAGACCCCACACTTCTGCAGGGGTCACGGGATTAATCCCCATTAGGGAAAGTAAGATCCCACACAAAGTGAAGCGTGGACAAAAATGTGAGTTAAGAGAAACCCCCCTCAAATGTACTAAAATTACATTAGCTCTCAACATAAATTTGAAGCAAGGTATGAGAACCCCGAACTGATCCACCCTGGTATGCTCAGTGGGGAGATGTGAAAAATGAGCTGAAAACCAGAGTTCAAAGACAGCAACTCGGAGCCCAGCAGTGAGCCCCGTGGGGCAAATGTCAACACGTGAGACCCCCCTACTGACCCTGGTGTTGTTCCTCTCTGCTTTCAGCTCCGCGATTTCCTCTTCTCTTTCAAGAAGCTGCTCCCTGCATACATTTAGTTCTTTAGTAAGTGCTGCGAACTCCTAGAAAACAGTTAAATGAGTAAGTGACTAAATGTAAACACAAATTAAAAAGAGACTGAGACTCTGAAGACTGACCCTGTCAAGCCTCTCCAGGCTCCCTCCACACAAAGGATCTCCCTGCCCCTCCGGAGAAGAGGGGGTCCGCTGACCCCAAGACCACACAGACCAGCACAACTCAGACCGGCCTTCAGCTTCCACCTCGACCTGGCAGGCCCGCGCCAGGGGAGGACCTGGAATCCAAGCCTGCCTTCTCCAGACCCAGGGAAGTCTGAGATACTTTCCTAAACATAAATCCTAACAACAAAGTGGATGAAGAGATTCTTCAACGACACACAGACAAGTGGCCCAGAACCCCTGGGGAGAGCGAGGAAAAAACGTAAGGTCTGCACGGCCGCCAGGCTCTGGAGCACTCCCCTGGGGAAAGGCTGATGGCACCCCAAGGCCAGTGTTAGCCTGACTCCACTGAAGTTACCCATCATTCAGTAAGCTGGGTAAAATGGTAAATTCATGCTATACGTATTTTATCACAATTTACACGCGTGCGCACACACACACAACTCTTTGGAGACAAGGTGGCTCCTAAGAGCATCGATCAGCTGCAGAACATGAACAGCCCTTCACATCAGGATTTCCGCGCAGAATGGCAAACACAAAGCTCCAGTCCCGCTGGGAAGAAGCAATCCAGCGTGTCCTCACACCAGACAGACTCTGCCCACGCGGCACGGGCACTGAGCGTCATGGCTGGGAAGCGGGCAGGGAGGGGAGCCACGGGGACTAGTCTCCTCTCCATGGCCCCCCAGGAGCAAGGGAAAGATGCAGACACTGTTCTCCGAGGGGGTGGATGTCTACGGGAAGAGCAGGCTTTGGAGGGAGCGCTAAATGTCCAGTTTCAGACAAGCTTCAGCTCAGACGTACTCAGGCCTTCAAGTGGCAGTGTCAAGTCCAGAGCCTCCCAGCCTGCAGTCCTAGGGGACACAGGCCAAGGTGAGACCGAGCAGCAAGGCGCTGAGCGTGGGCAAGAGGAGCCGAGGTTTGAGCCCAGCGAGAAGCCACTGCTGGGAAAGGAGAGGCGCCGGCAGGGGAGGCCAGGAGGGAAGGTACCATCTCAGGAGTCAGGAGCCCTGCGAGGAGCGGCCAGAGTCAACGGGTGCCTGGAGAGGGTCTGCTGAAGTGGAGGCCAACAGTGGCCGGGACCACAGCAGGTCAGCAGCCCAGGCAGGGTCGAGAGCCCAGTGGACAGAGGATGGGGGGGAGGGCAGCGGCGAGCACACGCTCGCTCTCGGGAGGGACTCTGCAGTCAAGCGCTGAAGGGAATCGGGCGACGGTTACAGGAGACACAGGGTCAGGAGAGCTCTGATACGGGATGAGCTGACGATGGGGGTCCGGGGCGGGGTGGGAGCTGAGCGGGCAGAGGGCGCCTTTCCCGGGCGCATGGCTCACCCACGGTCTAGGTCAGATCCATGGGCCCAGATCCAGATGAACAGCGAGCTGGTGGGGGCACTTTCTGGAAGTCCTGCTTTAATCTCTCCCAATTTCACTGAGAAAACAGATGCCTCTGCGCTGAGAGGAAGGGTGGGTGAGACTCACTGCGGGGGGCGGGCGGGAGGCAGCCGTCACGGAGCAGGGCGGGATGCCCGGACCGCGGCCGTGGGCCTTCCAGTAGACTGCGGGCCGCGTGGACGGAGGACTGACACGACAGGAGCAGGTTCCCACTGGGTGAGAGAGGCGTGCGTGTGTGTCTGTGTGTGTGTGGGAAAGGCTGGAGAGGCTGTCATGGTAGTGGTCTGTGGCGTCTCCGCGGGGGAAGACAACTGGGGAGACGTGGAAGGCCGAGGGACCAGGAATCGGGGGGTGTGGCGAGCAGGCCCCGGAGGCGCGACTGTGCGGCTGTCTCCCCACTTCCACTCGCAGAGGGCCCTTCCCCACATTCCCACCAGCTCCCTTTTTTTAACCCCTTCATCACCAGACGCAAGCCTGTATCTTTTATACACAAAGATTCCCCTAATAGCGCCAAACTGTCTTCATTCCCCTATGAAGAGGCTATCTAATTCCCATCATTTTGGCTAAATATAAGTGCTTCTTACAATGAATCCAACAGTTAAAACCGTTCTATGAAATACCACTTTGAATACACTAGAAGACAAATGTATAGAACTTCACAATTATTTTTACTCCTTAAAGAAAAACTCTTCTCTTTGCTCAAAAGAATTCAACTGAAAAAAAGTATCAAAGCAAATTAAACTTAGGAGTTTAGATAAACATTAGACAGGAAATTCCAAAGTTTAAGATTCCAAAAGCATGTTCATATGTTCACTGCATTTGTATTATTTTTGCAGAAAAAAACTAGGAGAGCCTGAATAAATTCCAAATATGTGCAATAAATGACCTACACGATTTCCACGATAAGAACCTAATTGTCAGCATCCAAACTTTTTTCTCTTTAGAAAAAAATGTTTGTTTAAAAAATACTGTAAGCCAGTTAAAACTGACATTCTATTTACTGTAATTAAAGTTTGAAGTTCACTCTTTGAAAGTGAACAGATAGAACAATCATGGGAATATTTTCAGTTTAAAATATAAGTCTGTACAATACAGATTTGCATTTCCATTTGACATTTTCTAGGACTGAGACCAGGGAAAATAACATCCAACCATTAACGTCAGTTTTAAAAACCTGATTTCACATAATGTGTTAAAATACCAATACTCATCATTTCTGAGTCTGGACAACAGGATCAGGTTACTCAAACCAGACATGACTGGTCAAAGTCCACAATCAAGCTGATTTTACAGTACGTCCTACAGATGGGATGCGACATTTGACTTGGGAGGCGACGACCCTGCTCTCTTCCCAGACGCGGCAGGAGGACTTGGGGTGGGGGTGGGGTGGGGGCAGGGAGAGTGGCAGGGTCTGGTCAAGGTCCACCCTCACGGGGTCCCAAACCCTCCCGCCTCCTGCCCACACCCCATGTGCTTCACCGGACCGCCCTGTGTCACACACAGTTCTACACCTTCTGCTCTCTAATCTCCATCAGTAGCTCTAGTTTTTAATTACTTATTATTTTTGCTAACCTGCTGAGAAAAGAATAAAGCTCCACTGGAGGCAAAAAGTGTATGTCCTCTTAGTAAAGAGACATTGGAGTGTAACAAAGGATGGAAATGGGGTCTGATTCTTAGAAAACCAAAATGAACACCCGAAAACTGACTTGCAGACCTCACTCAGATCATCTACCAGCCACAGCTATTTGCTGCCGTCAGGTGTAAAACTAGATTAAACTCTGAATTCAAAGATAATTAGAGGCTTATATACTCAAATGAACCAGCAAATCACATATCTGAAACTCCAATGTATTGATTAAAAGTTGCTTAGAAAGGTTATGTGTAACTGTTTATATTGTGACCTAATGATGGGAGGATGACAGAGGGACACTTGGAAAGAAAAAGACCAACTTTACACCTGTGCAAAATATGAGTCACAAGTTCACTCAGTTCAGTTCAGTCACTCAGTAGTGTCTGACTCTTTGCAACCCCATGAATCGCAGCACGCCAGGCCTCCCTGTTCATCACCAACTCCCGGAGTCCACCCAAACCCATGTCCATCAAGTCGGTGATGCCATCCGACCATCTCATCCTCTGTCGTCCCCTTCTCCTCCTGCCCCCAGTCCCTCCCAGCATCAGGGTCTTTTCAAATGAGTCAGCTCTTTGCATCAGGTGGCCAAAGTATTGGAGTTTCAGCTTCAACATCAGTCCTTCCAATGAATATTCAGGACTGATTTCCTTTAGGATGGACTGGTTGGATCTACTTGCAGTCCAAGGGACTCTCAAGAGTCTTCTCCAACACCACAGTTCAAAAGCATCAATTCTTCGGCGCTCAGCTTTCTTCACAGTCCAACTCTCACATCCATACATGACCCCTGGAAAAACCATAGCCTTGACTAGAGTTGGCAAAGTAATGTCTCTCCTTTTTAATATGCTGTCTAGGTTGGTCATAACTTTCCTTCCAAGGAGTAAGCATCTTTTAATTTCATGACTGCAACCACCAGCTGCAGTGATTGTGGAGCCCAAAAAAATAAAGTCAGCTACTGTTTCCACTGTTTCCCCATCTATTTGCGATGAAGTGATGGGACCGGATGCCATGATCTTAGTTTTCTGAATGCTGAGCTTTAAGCCAACTTTTTCACTCTCCTCTTTCACTTTCATCAAGAGGCTCTTTAGTTCTTCACTTTCTGCCATAAGGGTGGTGTCATCTGCGTATCTGAGGTTATTGATAGTTCTCCCACAATCTTGATTCCAGCTTGTGCTTCCTCCTGCCCAGTGTTTCTCATGATGTACTCTGCATGTAAGTTAAATAAGCAGGGTGACAATATACAGCGTTGACTTATTTAAAGTCATGAATGTGATAGCACTGGATTTTCAATCACCGATTATTTGCAAGCAGAGAAAAATGCATAAGCAGTTCAAAGGTCCCAATACATGTGATTTTTCTTATTTCTAAGAATTGTTGTTGCTGTTTAGTCGCTCAGTTGTGTCTGACTTTGCAACCCCATGGACTGCAGCATGCCAGGCTTCCTTGTCCTTCACTATCTCCCAAAGTTTGTTCAAACTCATGCCCATTGAGTTGGTGATGCCATCCAACCATCTTATCATTTGTCGCCCCTTCTCCTCCTGCCATCAATCCTTCCCAACATCAGGGTCTTTTCCAACGAGTCCGCTCTTCGCATCAGGCGGAAAAATATTGGAGCTTCAGTTTTGGCATCAGTCCTTTCAATGAATATTCAGGATTTCTAAGAATAGAGACTGACAAAATTTATGCTCATACATAGCATTTGGCAATTAAATAATGGAGGTTGTATAGTCTGAACCTAAAAAAACATGGTGCAGAGCAGTACTGCAATGTGATCTCAATTCAGTTAAAAGCAAACACAATCTTTCATATATATACACACACATACACACACACACACACACACACACATTTCTTATATAAGAAATACAGATGG